TTGCAAATATAAAAATATAGGCTAATAAAAATGACTTTTTGTGTGACTTTAAACACAGCTCAAGAAAAATATGTTGTTGTATAACTGGGATATGAATGAGATACAGTATCATGTTAAGGAAATGCACCTAAATCTGAGTGTATACATAAATCAGTAAGGTGAATAATTACTTAATTAAGATATGTCCAAGTGCAACACATATCTGATTATTTAATTAACTAAGTACCTCAGAATACAATCCAGTATTATCTCTCACAACAACTGTCCAACAGTTCTTGGCTACTTCTATCTGCTTTTATTAGCCAAACATAAAGTTCTATCTGGTCATCATGGGGAATCCTATTCATTACTTTGAAGTTAAGTCACTTATTTTAGGATATTTCTATACAACTAAATGTGTGTCAAGCTTTCTTTCTTTAGTTATTCCGCTTTATCTTTTATTTAGAACACAACCCTATGCCATTTTCTCATGCATAATGTCATGTGTTTATATATGACGTGGGGTATGGCTTTATCTTTTATTTAGAACACAACCCTATGCCATTTTCTCATGCATAATGTCATGTGTTTATATATGACGTGGGGTATGGCTTTATCTTTTATTTAGAACACAACCCTATGCCATTTTCTCATGCATAATGTCATGTGTTTATATATGACGTGGGGTATGGCTTTATCTTTTATTTAGAACACAACCCTATGCCATTTTCTCATGCATAATGTCATGTGTTTATATATGACGTGGGGTATGGCTTTATCTTTTATTTAGAACACAACCCTATGCCATTTTCTCATGCATAATGTCATGTGTTTATATATGACGTGGGGTATGGCTTTATCTTTTATTTAGAACACAACCCTATGCCATTTTCTCATGCATAATGTCATGTGTTTATATATGACGTGGGGTATGGCTTTATCTTTTATTTAGAACACAACCCTATGCCATTTTCTCATGCATAATGTCATGTGTTTATATATGACGTGGGGTATGGCTTTATCTTTCCAGATTTTTGATTATTGCACATTACTACACTTGTGCATATGGAAGATCAATAGCTTTGGTAAAACTATCACAGAATTAGAGAGCCTTTGTAAAACAGAATTATAGATTCAAAAGTGACAAAGACCGAAACAAAAAGTCATGAACATGCCAAAATATTATCACCAAAAAGCAATTCCAAAAGTGGAACTATTTGTTCACTGATGCAAACTCTCATGCCAAATGCCAGTCACAAAAAGTTGTAATAACAATTGTCACCTCCCCCTCCCGACCCCTTCACTACTAACTTCACATACACCAAAAATCCCCAAAACCTAATAAATGAGTCTTAAAAATGAAGTAAAATGTGTGGAGATAAAATAACGTCTGTACACATGTCCCAAGGTGGCTAGGTGGGATATTAGTATATCAAAGAACTCATTGAGCTGTTCCTAGATAATATTTTCTTAACAAATCAAATTATAGAGAATCGGAGAGCTTCAGAGGGCCACTGTTTGCATTCAGGGGAGATTTATGTAACATCTTATCTGCCTTTATTACAATTTACTTTGCAAATAAACAAATTCTTATTCTGGCTGGTGAACATAAGTACTACTCATGAAACAGTTACTACCTGTTTGTGGTAATTTCAAATCATTAATCTCTTAATATATTTCACTCTGGTTACCCATCAAAATACCCTTTTCAAGAGTTGAATTTTGCTTCTTCAAAAGAGAGCATCAACTGCCCACTTTCAACAAGGGATAATCTTACTCATTCAATCAGAACAGATTTGTCAGAATGCCCCCTTAAGTACCTGGCATTTATTTCATATAAAGAGTGAAGACGAAGCTCTCTTTTAATAAGTGAAGTCGAACGAATGCAAAGGGTAATACAAAAATGACAGCTACATTTGAGGTTATTAAGATCTTAAGAGCAAAATAGTCTATGCTAGTCAGAGTATAGCCATTATTCCTAGTCTATGAAGCTCAGGGTATCATGAAAATGTTCAGGTATATTATTAGAAGATTGAGAGAAAATTGGGGGAATGAGCAACGAATAACTAAGCAGACATATCAGAACATTGTTACGCGTATCATTTACAATGGTCCTTTTTCCATTTAGCTTTGAAATCTTGTTAAAGTCTCTTTTTAATGAGATTTAAGGAGATCTGCATTTTTAACCATTAAAGACTAAAATTTTCTTCCATTTAATGGCATATTCGAATTCCCTGTGTAATTTTCAATCAAAACAACTTTGATTTGCACTGTTATCCACCTTTATTCAAATTGTAATGCTTTTCTAGTTGTCTAAAAAAGGTTGGGCTAAATCCCATGATTGACACAATGCTGAAAAACTGTTCATTTCCTCTTAGAAGGATCACAATTTTAATGTGAAATCACAATCCACATGTCAATAAGATCATATAGTTACATTCCAATGGTGTTTTAAGTTTATCCAAATGGAATTACTTCTTAAATCAAGAAATTAAGTGACTCTGGCAATACATTTACATGTATTTTAGCCCTACCATAGCCCTACCAATACCCATGATGCTATCTATTTTCCATTTATATGGAAAAATGGAAAAAGGTCAATTAAAGAGAAAGGACATGGGATACACATGACCAAAACTAAAAATAATGAAAAGTAATTTGGGTAACTATTGAGTAGTATTTGATAAAATTAATGAAAAGCAGAGAAGTAATAACTTTTCATACACAAAGAACAACATTTGAGAATTTTTTTTTGAATGGTATCATATAACAACTTTAAGAAATGAGTTTCTCACTTATACAGGAATATGTCTATATTTCATTTTCTAAGATCTAGAATATACAATAATGACTTAATAATCAGCAAGTGATTACCACTTGTAACAAAATAAACCATCAATTTGAGAATCAGAAAGCTGCTGCAACAACAGAGACCCCTATTGGTAAATTGATGAAGCTACAGTTAATCATGTTGATAACACTTTGTAAGTGATATGGAATACATGTACAGTAAAACCTGTCTAATCCGAACACCCATGGGACCAGCCAAAAGCGTTCAAATTGGCAGGTGTTCAAATTTCGAGGATATTGTTGGTCGGGGGGGGATTTTCATTGTTCAGTCCACTATATTGAACCCTTAATACTACAATAGGCCTATAGCCTACATGTATATGCTATGTTTTATTTACATTTTGAACAATTTCATTATTTTTGGAAAAATAACTCTTTAATTTTGGCAAAAACTTTGTAATACACTGAATAAGTATATGATAGTCTTGTACGAAATCTTATGCTTATTAAATGACTTATCTCATATTATGGTTACATAGCACTGCTTTACTTTAGCTTGAAAAAGTCGTTCATTGTTGTTTGTTTCTTGGCACTTTTAGCATTAGCAATATTTGAGTAGATACCCTCTTCAATTAAAAAGATTTTTTTTTCAAAATATCAAGGGCACACAGTATGTCAGATGTGCCTTTTTAGAAGGCATTTTAGTGATAGGATATTACGAAGTTGAATTTTTTCTCTTTCTCATGATATAATCTTGTCTGCAAATGTGTCTGTGTTGTCTTTGTGATTACAAAACATTTACTGATTGAATCCCAGCTATCATAACAGACCCATGGGATATAGTTAAGACTTGTTCATAATCCAAATCAAAAACATCCAGTTAATTTAAAATAAGGATAAACCAATTATCTCCCAGATTCTCACCTTTCTCTTAATCTAAATCAAAAACATCCAGGTAATTTCTAATAATGATAAAACAATTATAATCTTGTCTGCAAATGTGTCTGTGTTGTCTCTGTGATTATAAAACATTTACTGATTGAATCCCAGCTATCATAACAGACCCATGGGATATAAAACAGTTAAGACTTGTTCATAATCCAAATCAAAACCAATTATCTCCCAGATTCTCACCTTTCTCTTAATCCAGACATAAAACATTCAGTTCTTTTCTAATAAGATAAACCAATTAACTCCCGTATTCACACCTTTCCTGTTGTTTTCCACAATTAGGGATGTCATTGAGACTTAAATAAGTTAATTAGGACAATATTGGTTCTTTGATTACATTGCATATGTAAAGATAATAAGAACTAGAACATTGACTCAATATGTGGCTATTATTGAAATGTCCAGACATTTGATTTCTGATAAAATGTTCAGATTAGACAGGTCAGTTTTTCAAATCTGATTGTTCACTGTTCAGATTAGGAGGTGTTCAAATTTCAAGGTTTTTTTAACATGGGAGTCAATGGGAGGAAAAAATGGGACCGAAAAAAAGTGTTCAAATTGGAAGGTGTTCGGATTAGCCAGGTGTTCAGATATACAGGTTTTACTGTACATGTATATTCATGAGAAATGTTCTACTTTAACCATTTAATTCATTATATCTTCAATTTAAGAGAAATGTGACGTCTTAAATGAATGTTTCAATTTCAGATTTTTAATTACTTACATTATATTGACATATTCTTATTTCATGAAATTCTACAATAAAATATATATACATGTAAACGCATTTACAAAGCAATTTCATTGTATTTGCAACATATATGTAAAACGAAGAATGTCCTTGTCCTCATGCTATTTCTCAATACATTCAGTATAGTAATCAAATTCCAATCCCCTCTCCCATTTTCTATTCCTCACACATTGCAGATGTTTGTGAAAATACCCAAATGCGAGTAGAAATAATCTTGATTTACGTCATTAAAAATTCAGTCAAAGTAATATCATATTTGAAATCTACATGTAAAATTACATCTAGAAATGTGGTTTTAAAAAGTGTTTATCAACTTTGGAACATTAATTTTCTTTGAAAATGTGACTTCTAGCTCGGCGAGATTCCCCATAGACCCCATGCTATAAAATCTTTTCTTTTAGTAGACAGATAATATTTTGCTTTACTGGACATATTTTCATTAGTATAAGTATCAGACACATAAGGATTATATGAAAATTGAGCCACTTAAATTGATAATATTCAAGTTTAAGGGAACTTTCTTATATACCTGCCATGTTAATTGACCCGAATCAGCCACCTGGTGGTGAAACTGGTAACTACCTACTCACATTTGGGTAATTGAGAGTGGGTAAAACAAGGGTTTCATGCAACATTTACATATAATTCTGTACATTGTATGATTTCTTGATGCACATTCTACGTGCTACTTATCCAACAGTGTGGATACACATTTTGTCCCATAGAAGTACAATATCTTCTCTGGCTAAGTCTATTCTTGGATCCTGCCTAAATTGCTATCACAGTTGGTTGCATTTTATACACTTTTTCCTCATCAATGTCTATTATAGTCTGCATTTATATACCAAATCACAGTTCTTCAAACTGGGATGAGTACAAAAAAGATTTATGTTCCTGGTACTGTTTTATTGTCTTTTTCTCATTTAACTTCGCACATTCAAGTTGACAAGGATGGATTTCATATTGAGTGCGAGAAATGCATTCTGGTTTGTGCATTTCCGTATGGTCTCTTGTACCATACCAGTGATGGTGAAAACTTCAAAGAACTTTCTATTGCTCCTGAAAAACAAGATAATGTTCTGTAACACAGCTTAAGAAGTACACTAATATTTAATTTAATAATATGAAAGACAAATCCTTTCAAACAAATATACCTTTGTGGATTAGGAAGAGGTGCATTCATTATTACTTTTTAATATACATGTACTGGTATATTTTAATCAGCCCTATATATGCAACTATTTATCAGTAAAGGATATCCTATTAGAATGAGAAATTCTTACTTTATTTTTGATAATTTCTGCAAGATGATACTCAGTTTTTCAGTGATTTTATCAGGCAAATTTGGAGTGCGCAGGACCATTGAGCATGCCCGGAACCAGTGCTCATTGCTACAGCTCTCTAGGAAATATGGAAGTGTGGGTGAATCCATAGACATCTGTAGGAAAATGTCAACAGCACATGTTAACAATGCCTGAAAGCAGAAAAATAACTAGACAACAGCAACGCCAAAGCGTAGCAAATTCCATCTAACTGCAATGGCTGGCATTTTTACAAACGAAATATATAGCAAATATCGTAAAATAACACACCATTTTCAAAATGGTTGCTCACTAGCCAAGTTGTCATCAGAAAAAGTAATATGCTTTAAGTAGGCACAAAGAAAATTTTTTAAAAATCGCACACACACGTACCTGTAAATGGTGGCCGCCTACTACCCAAAATGTCATAATACAGTGTGTCATGCTTATTCACATATCAAATTTGAACAAAATCGCTCTATCACTTTTTGAGTTATAGTAAAAGATGTAAAATAACACAAACAAAAAATGGTGGCCATTTTCCAAAACAACCACATACTCTCAAAAGTGTTATCAGACAATGTGCCATGCTTAATTTATTCACATACCAAATATGAACAAAATCGCTCCACTACTTTTCGAGTTATAGTAAAATACGTTAAAATGGTGGCCATTTTTCAAAATGGCCACCTTCTACCAAAAGTGTCAATAGACAGTGTGCCATGCTTACAGTATTCACATACCAAATATGAACAAAATCGCGAGTTATAGTAAAAAAACATAAAAATGGCCACCTACTACCAAAAGTGTCATTAGACATTAGACAAATACTGTATGAACAAAATCGCTCCACTACTTTTTGAGTTACAGTAAAAAATGTTAAATAACACTGCCTACTACCCAAAATGTCATTAGACCTTGTGCCATGCTTATAGTATTCACATGCCAAATATGAACAAAATCGCTTCACTACTTTTCAAGTTACAGCAAAAATCGAAAATGACGTGCAAAGGCAGTCATTTTTCAAGATGGCTGCCATGTATTTCTTATACATTTCTAGCTTAATTAATGTCCTATATTACTTTTTTACATTCAAAACATTGCTATTGCAGTTTTATATCATAACTAAAATGGCTGCCATTTTTTAACGAGCAGCCATTTTGAAAATCGGCTTTCGAGCAGAACTTGTACTCCCACAGGGCACACGTGACTCAAAATATGAACAAAATCGGGTGAACAGTATTTGAGTTATTGCCCGGACAGACGGACAGATGGACAGACGGAGGCATTCCCTAGATAATATCAATAGGTACTGATTAAAATTTGTAAATTCATAATAATAGTGCTCTTGATGTCTTTACCTGATTAGTAGGTTTGAGATACGGAATGATAGCTGGAGTTGCTACATAATGGAGGTACAGTTGACGTGTGGACTCTGTCTTCAAATCACTTCTTAGTACATCAAATACATGAGCCAGTTGATCGACTGCAATACAATAACTTTAGGATGAAAAATTGAGATCAATGAAAGTAGAAGTTTAGATTTAATACTATAATTGCTCCGAATTTGGGTTCCAAAGCAATGAATAATGCCAAATATCATTGCTACTATTTTAGTTCTGTACATGAACCGGGGATGTCAGTGCAATCTCTAAATAAATGATTTCACCAGTTGAAGACATTATGTTGATACAAATAGGCACATAACCAGTCATGGGGAAGGAGGAGTAGAGGGTGGGAAGAGGAAGTGGGAAGGGGGAAAAGGGAGGGGAAAGAGGAGTGGAAAATGGAAAGGGGAAGAGGGCAAGGGAAAGAGGGCAGGGGAAAGGGAGGATTTAAAATGGTTGATTTAACAAAGAATATTAAATGGTCAACATGTAATTTATCCAGCATACACAAAACCTAATCTGATTTTGGCACTTGCCTGCTCTTGCATCTGTAAAAATTTCAAGTTGGATGGACAAGTGGTTTTCCTGGAATTGTGATGGCAAGATTAATGAAACTTTGTTCGATGGGATAAAAAGAGAGACATTCACAAAGACAAAAAATATGTTAAAAACCAAATTGGGATCAATTCCATGGTGGTTGATTTAACATGCAAAAAGAGAGAGAAAAACAGAGAAAAAGAGTGGAATTTATTAGTAGGAATGAAGTATAAAATGCATAAAGGCAACTCTCTAATTTGTATATGAAATAACCAGAAAATGAGACAGTTCTTATTAAGAGAAAATATGTGGAAGTCAAGTGTAACTAGTGTAACCATGGAGATTGGAAAGGCAATCAAATAATATGGGGAAACTTGAGAAATGTTTGAATGTATTTTCAACGTAATGAATGTTATTACAAAGATTTATACTTCTTTGGTTAAGCGCTTTGTCATTCCACCTTCGCATAAACAGTAATAAAAGAAACATTATTTTAACTCCAATTTCTAATTAGAAATGTATTATTACGCATTGTTCAGATAATAAGCCATTCTATGATAGGAACGGGATAATGAGGATAATTTGTGAAGGGAACCCCATCAAAATGATTCCTTTTACATGTTAAGAGATCAAAAGGCCATAAAAATCAAATCGTAAAGTATGCGACTCTCCTTCCCTTTAGAATGCTATTATATCGCATATAACATATAAAATAACAAACAATTTATCTCTAGAATGTAATCCTTTAATGGTTGATATCAGGTAGTAGCAATCAACCAAATTAATGCTCATGCCCATATTTTAGCTATATAAATGCTACATGCTATAATGTATTTGTTTAGTGTATTATTAGTGCCACACTAGAAAGACAAATTATAAAATAACTTAGCTATATGAAGTAAAATTGATATTTTAATATCTCCTATTTCTTGGCTTGAAATATAATATCAGTTGCAATAGCACGGGCATCACCAGGAGGGGGGGGGGCTTGGTTGATATAGATGCACGGCATTGGAAAAATTGCCAAAAATATCATGAATTATAATTTGTGAAATTTAATTATTTTCACATTTTCTTGTACGACGAAATTTGTAAACTTTAGAACTGGAAATTAAGCATTTAGTTTTAAAATCTCACTGAAGACTCATTTTAAATAGGATTTTGAGAGCTTTGCATATTAAGGACTTACACAACCCCTTTTTATGACATATTTGAATTCAGTACATAGTTTTCTACTGGAAGAACCTACCTTTACACTTTATGTTATTATACTTAATGCTTTATGTGATTCGATTCCCAAGGATTTTTAACTTTTCTGAAAAGGGTCTAGCTAAACCCCCATTGGTAGAGTGTTAAAAATCTTTAAAAGTTGAGTTATTTATTCATTAAAGGATCACAATTTTAAGGTTAAATCACAATCTAAATGTCAATAAGATGATCTAGCTGAATGCAAAGGGAGTTTACATGAATCCATTTGGGAATATTCAATATGTCAAGAAATTAAATGACTTCAGTCATTTTTCCCATTGTAAATGATGGTATCTACCCCAACCAACACATGTGCTGCCATCTGTTTATTCATCTGTATAGCAAAAGGTCAACTTACTCATGAGTTTATATTTTATAGTATATATAGTATATACAGTGGGACAGGGTCATAAAAATTACTTTAATTACAGATGAACTTCATTGGTTAGGGATTCAATAAATAAAAGATTTATTTCAAGATTAATTCTTTAAGATCAAATCTTTAGGCAAGTTTTTTCTTACTTAATAATGACAAATAATACTTGCCAATATGTCATGTAAAATCACACCATTTTCTAATAAGTCAACAGCTTCGAATAATTAACAATAATTGAAATCAAAGGTCACGGGATGAAATACACCATTGCATGTGAAATACCAATGGTTTTGACATCTTTTGCGCAAAACGTAGAAACACTTGCATGTATGGCTCTCATATTTCAACTAAAACATCCCTTTGGAACTTAAAATATCAGCTCTATATGGAATGATCGTTTGAAGATATCCCAAGTATCAAGAGATTTGATTTTTGATGTTTCTTCGTAAAAAGAAACAAATGAATTAATTTTTGATCAGACTGACTGGGGATTTATGAAATATTTATTGCTTCAAACAAATACAAATTGTATGAATAGAGAACTACAAATGGTTTAACTACACCTGTGAATAAAGTTCTAGGAGTTCATGTTTTGAAATGTTGCACAGAGTGAAAAAATTTAATCAAGATGTAATAAGAAAATGGATAACAAATATTACTTGTTAAAGATTATAGTACAATTCTCATTCAGATATCACTAGAATGTGATATGAATTGAAATTCTGAATGATATAAATGTTTTCTACAGAACTGAACTAAGTTGCAAACTAAGAACAAAGAAAACATTTATTTAATCAAAAAGCATTAACTATAATTTGCATTATGAATTGTAACACTATTTAGCTTATGAATGAAATAAGTCATGCATTTTCCTCTCTCTTTATCTCTAAAATGTCAATAAAGAATTACATTTTCTGGAATTTTTATAAAATTCAGAGCGTCCGTCTGTTTACAACTACATGAAGTGCTTCTTGTTGCAATCCAAAACACAACACAACCCCCAAGGTGATTCACGGTCGGGTAACAACTAAAACAATTGCAAGGGGAAACACTATTACTAAATGGAATCTCGAGAACAATCAATCGTGAAACAATAAAAAGATAATTTAGCGAATATATGCTTGACAGAAAATTAATCTAGTTTTTTCTAATTGCAAGTTTCATTGAATTGTTTCATCATAAAATAAAACGGTGTAATATCAGCCGCAATAGTATTGTCATTAAGTTGCTTAATCTAATTGTACTGCTTCGATGCCTAATATATCAGAAACTGTACACGAGGTTCTACGATTTCATATTCAAATCATACAATTTGTTTCTACATTCTCTCTCCATCCATATTTTTGTGAAGTTATTTAAAGTTTTTGTCGTAAGTTAAAGGACAAGTCTCAGTTTGGAGAACAGTCCCCTGGGCTAATAATTTTTTTATGAAAAATATAGAAAGATCACCCAAATCAAATTATAAATATTCAAAAGAGGACATTTAAATCTACAAGATGTAAAAATATCACAATTGTCCGAAGCAGGGGTAATGTGCAGTAGACCAATTCAATAAAATACAAGTCTCGATTAAGAGAAAAAAGTTCATCAGTGTAACTGCGCTAATAATTTTTTATGAAAAATATATTACAGCAGGCGTAATATGTAGTAGACTGATGAACTTCGTTCTCCAAACCGAGAATAGTCCTTTTTTACAGCAGGGGTTTCATAGCAGCAGGCAACAGCCGATTTTCACCAGTTGTTTTCACACAATCGCCTGTTGTTTTAGGGACTTTTCAACTTTTCAATGTAATTTATGATTTCCATTAATATTGCCTCTTGTTTTCATTTATTCAGCCTGTTGTGAGAAATCCTAGTGAAACCTCTGTACAGTGTCATTTCCTAGTTTTATAATTTCCTAGTATTCAGCTAGAACAATATAACTTTAGGTAGGCAGAGTATGAGTATTTTTGGACCTGTCAGCTACAATCTTCAGTAAATTAGCCAAATTAATCATTGAACTTGGACTACCTAAAACAGACTTCTTGATTTCTTATATTGATGTCATTCATTTCATATGCAAGACAATTGTCATATTTTCATATGAAAGAATAATTAAATTTGTTTTAATTAATAAGTTGTAGTTTTTGTAATTAATTATATTTTGATTTTAAGGATGGTTATATTTTTTAGACTATATCATCCATACTGATGAACCAAGCAACCAGAATGATGTACTCTGGAAGTGTTCCACTTACTGACATGTTTCACTTTTAAAGATTTTACTGTACAGACTGATATGTTTTGATCATTTTTTTGGAAAAATACTGGAATCTTTCAATAATAACAAATGGCCACAAAGATCTCAATATTTTATTTCATCCCTGTCTAATGCTGCTCTTTCAAAACACGACTGAAAAGTTTTACCAAAAAGGGCAATGAACTTTGTCTCCAATGTATCAATTCATCATTTTAATGTTTTGACGAGTAATCCTTCTAGTTACGTATTTATAACAATACTCATATTCCATCTTTAATCTTTATATCATTCCATACAAACATAGCAGATCAGAGAAATAACTAGATAAAAACTCCTTGTATTAATTAGAAGTATCAGCTTAATTCCTGCTATTTCTATAGGTGATTAAACCTGTAATGACAATTTATACGATAGTTTTATCATTCATGAGAAATGCTCGTCAATTTCAAAGCGACAAATAAACAGGCTTTTAATTAAATTCCTTGAATGACTGAGTCGTGATTTGACCAGGTCTCTACGCAGTTAAACACTAACGGATATACTTCCATTGTTTATGACTGTTGTCTCGGCTGTAATCTTAAATCCAAGTATTCATAAACAATAGGAATAATTCTATTTAATTGCAGGAGAAACCTTTAATTTTACCAACCTTGCAAAATGAAATCATACAATCTTTTAAATTCATCAATATCTAAAAAAAATCATATTTTCATGAGAAAATTTTCATTACTTTAGAATTCTTGTCTTACTTCAATCCTTTTTTGACTTTATTCCATATATTTTCAAGGATTTTCATCGGAATATCATGGGAATTTTGTTTTTTGTAAGGCAGATAGGAACAAGTGATCTGCAGGCGTTTGAAATCATAAAAAATAAACTATTGCCCATAATGATCTTTATTATAGTCCTAGGTCTATCCATTAAAAGAGATTTCAGAACTGTCACGAATATTCCACCATATTTTATATGAAACTATAAATGAAACAAACACCATAATCTAAGTATTCTAATATTAGCCTATTCAGGTTTATTCTCAAAGATTCCACTTTAACTTATAAAATATTCACCTTTCATCCAACTTCAAGTATAAACATAATAACCATGATGATAGTCTTTACATATGTTTGATTCTTAAACACATTCCATTATATACCCTCTTTCAATGAGAAATAATCATTTTTTTATCGTGCCAATCAGATTAGGGTGATCAAAATAAGCTAACCAATCAGAGTCTAGTGAATTTGCACTTCCTGCCTACCTAAGAAGCCAGAATTTATTCAATTTTTTTAAACTCCAATAAGCTACATGCAAGTAGGTGGTTACCAGTTTCACCACCAGGTGGCCAATTCAGGGTAAATAGCATAGAAGGGTAAAGCACAAAATGCTCTTAAACTTGAATATTTATCAGTTCTAGTGGATCAATTTTCAAATTACCCTCATGTATCTGAGAGTTATACAAATGTAAATATGTCCAGTAAAGCAAAATATTATCTGTCCACTAAAAGAAGAGATATTTCACTTTTTGTGATCTTATAACAAGGGGTCAATGGGAAATCTCCCCAACCTAGAAGTAACATTTTTAAGAAATTATTTCTTTAAAGTTGATAAAATGATATCACTTTGACTGTATTTTGAATATTTAATGATGTTCTCGCATCTAGGCTAAAGACCATTAAAATACTTTTTTGGTCACTAAGATCAAAACTGTAACAAATGCGATGAACTATAACAAAAACTAAAACAATTCACCTTGAGTGAGAGTCTTCAGCACTAGCAGCCCAGACAGAAACCTAATGTGCTCATCACTGCTACGAAAAAATAAATTTTCTCGAGATTTTTCCAAACTTTGTGGAGATTTGGCAGGGGATTGTGGGATAGATTTGTTGTCATCAGTAAAGCGGACAGATTTTGGGCGGTAGAGTTCCTCTCCAAGTCTACGAAGAGTTGATGAAAGGGCTGTTTTCTGCAAGAAATATATATATTTTATATAGTTCATAACAAGTCCTGACTATGGCCATATTATGTCCATTTTCAATATAGATCAGGTGAATATGATTTTTTGATTGGGGACATCAATTACATTCCCTACAAAGTTATCTCTCAATTCTTAACTTATTTTTACCTAAAACATTTAAAATGTGCATCTGCAATAGGAACAACTAGAAAAACAGCAACTCCATGGAGTAGCAAATCCCACCGAACAAAACATATTATGCTTATTATAGTGTAAATGTTGAAATGTTTGTGTACTTTGTGATAGAAGCATGAAATTTGGCACAAAGTTAGTTTATACCATTGTGAACTAGGCATCATCATATAAAATTTGAACCAAATCCGTTCACTGTTATATGAGTTATCAAAGATTACGTTTTTTAAGAATATGGGCCGCCATCTTGAAATTCAGCCGCCATCTTGAAAATTATTTCTTGAACAGAGCTACTGTGTCCCTAGGCATAATCATATAAAATTTCAACCAAATCTGTTCACTGGTATTTGAGTTATCAAAGATAACGTTTTTTACGAAAAGTTGCTGCCATTTTGAAATTAAGCGGCCATCTTGAAAATGTTTTGTCGACCATAGCTACTGTGTCCCTAAGCATCATCATATAAAATTTGAACCAAATCCGCTCACTGGTATTTGAGTTATCAAAGATTACATATTTTTACGAGAAATGGCTGCCATTTTGAAATTAAGCGGCCATCTTGAAAATGTTTTGTCGACCATAGCTACTGTGTCCCTAAGCATCATCATATAAAATTTGAACCAAATCCGCTCACTGGTATTTGAGTTATCAAAGATTACATATTTTTACGAGAAATGGCCGCCATTTTGAAATTAAGCGGCCATCTTGAAAATCTCTTTTTGTGCGAAACTCCTTTGTCCCTAGGCATCAGCATATAAAATTTGAACCAAATCCGTTCACTGGTATATGAGTTATCAAAGATTACGTTTTTTATTATGAATATGGGCCGCAATCTTGAATATCAGCCGCCATCTTGAAAATTATTTCTTGAACAGAGCTACTGTGTCCCTAGACATAATCATATAAAATTTCAACCAAATCTGTTCACTGGTATTTGAGTTATTGAAGATTAAGTTTTTTACGAAAAATTGCCGCCATTTTGAAATTAAGCGGCCATCTTGAAAATGTTTTGTCGAACATAGCTACTGTGTCCCTAAGCATCATCATATAAAATTTGAACCAAATCTGTTCACTGGTATTTGAGTTATCAAAGATTACATATTTTTACGAAAAATGGCCGCCAATTTGAAATTAAGCGACCATCTTGAAAAACTCTTTTATGCGAAACTCCTTTGTCCCTAGGCATCAGCATATAAAATTTGAACCAAATCCGCAAACTAGTATTTGAGTTATCAAAGATTACATTTTTTATGAAAAATGGCGGCCATTTTGAATTCAGTGGCCATATTGAAAATTCCTTCTCGAGCAGAGGTCCTACACCCATAAGGCATAAGCCTATTAAATTTGAATCAAATCTGTGAAACGGTATTTGAGTTATCGCCCGGACAAACAGACGGACGGACGGACGGACAAACGGACGGACGAACGGACGGACGGACGAACGGACGTCTTGTAATATATAGATACACTGTCCCACATGTTTTGTTAAAGAGCAACTGAAGCATACAATCTACGGCTTTCCTATATCCCTCGCGAACTTCGTTCGGTGGGATGATGAACTATTTATCTACTGACATGATGAAAATATTGAAATCAAGTAATAAGAATTTGCACACTGATGCCATCTTTAATGAAAACAAAATGTTTTTTAATAATTAATCACTTTTGATATGATGGGACACATTTCTTTCATATACAGGGTGGTCCAAAAAAAATTGGAACATTTGATAATTGAACTCAAAATCGTTATTTTTTCTCTAAAATGCACCAAAATTTTACTGAGTATTATTCAATCACTTATTTATCTGATGTAAAGTTTATAGGTGCAAACAGCAAAGTTAAGGCATTAAACTAGAGAATGTTTGATATGACCCCTTTTCTCCTGAATTACAAGTTGAAGCCTGGGTTTTGAAATGATTCATTCACTTTGCCGTTCCTTTGATTTTGTCCAAGCCATCTTGATTAAATAATCCAACTTGAACAAATTACTTACATGTTTGCCTTAGAAGATCAAATATATGAACATATTCAACATATTTTTACCCAAGTTGAAGGGTATCAAGCATAATTTGATGGCTATTGTTGTATATATTACTGATTGAATATTCTCCAGAAAGAGGCCAGGGCAGTCTGTTTTGACTTGTAAATGAACCCCCCCCCCTTTCTTGTTCTAATATGAATAATATTCATTGAATATATCGATATATGTATATCAATATCATAAAGGAGTTTCCCAGAACACAAATGATATATTATATTACATCTGCTTAGAAGTGGTCTTTAATAGCCTTGTAAATAACTGGTCAGTTTCCCCTCTACTGAAAAGTGGAAACAATGATTTTGTCAGTTTAGTAGCTGTATGGGTTATGCAATCACTCACCTCTGACATGTTCTTTCTTTCCTACTATTAAATAAAAAAAATGATTTTGGGTATTCTTAAGTTGACAATAACACAATAGTTTTCCAGTAAACCAGAGATGTTAATACCTCGTGTCAACTAAATATGATTTTATAAAATGTGTATAGCAATCAACATGTTCATTAAAGCTTTGAAATGAAGAATACTTGAAAAAGTAGCTGCGAAATTGACAAGTGTATATTTGAGAAAAGGGGGTCATATCAAACATTGGCTAGTTTAACGCATTAACTTTGTGGTTTGCACCTATAAACTTAACATCAGAGAGATAAGTGACTGAACTATGCTTAGTAAAATGTTGGTGCATTTTAGAGGAAAAATAAAGGTTTTGTGTTCAATTGGCAAATGTTCCAATTTTTTTTGGACCACCCTGTATATTTCTATAAAATAGCAAGGAAGGGTAACATGCTTAATGATTTTAGAGCATGAATGCAACCTTTTTGGTACTGATAGTAGACGGGCATCCCATGTATTGGGTGATTTCTTACGAGAAATCTGTAAACAAGCAAAGGGAAAAAGACAAGTTGAGAGCAATTTTCTACAAATGAAATCTTCTCACCATGTGTACTTGACCTTGTTCTATATGTAGCAGTGACCAGTAAATAAACTGTAAACTTGGCAAATAATTCCGCACATTCAGTTGAGGCATCTCACGTAGAATCTCCACCAAGCTTGGTAATAACTGAAAAATATTTTAATACATGTATATGTTATGATTTCAACATAGTATGCAATTTCAAAAATATGAATGAGATGAGCATGTTATAATTCTATATTGTGAAATTACTGTTACCATTGATAATACTTTAGTGCTTAACTATTTCTGTTGAAGCATAGAGGTACATTTACACCCTCTACTCCTCATGTAATAGGAGTTTTATAAATAAGGTCACTAAATATTATGAAAATCGAATACAATGATCAATTCTCTTTCCCCCCTTCAGTACAAGTGTTAATATGATTTTTAGCCCAAACTATTAAAAAGTTCACCCCCTTGGCAAGACCTCCCCCTGGTAAAAATATAAATTACCTTATAACATTTATCTTGTACCACCTCTGTAGAAGTGTTCATATTACTTGGAAGGTGTGTAATTACAGATCTTAGATGAGACTCAGATACCCACTCCAGTAGGTTTGTAAGGACATCATATGTGTTGGTAGTTGGCTGCAAATTGCATATAGATTAAGAAGTGGGAAAATCATAAATTACAATGCTTAATCAAATCTTTGAATGGTTCATGGAATGTTAAGGACTATATGAGAATAGATATGTCTATAAAAGTTCTATTGTGAACTTATAGAATAAATGTGCTTATGAAAGTTCTATTGTGAACTTAAGTTCAAACATAAATCTTATAGAATGGATAGTGTCAAATATTGAATAATTTTGAAAAAAAAATCATACCAGTATACAAGTTTTTACAAAAAGTCATGGAAAATGATTTAAATAACATAACTGTAAAGGTCAACTGAATTCAAATATGCCATTTAAAAGAAGGCCAAGTAAGTCATTAGAGGTCTAATATGCAAATCTCTTTATAAAATCGAATGAAAAACGTGATAGAGTCAGATTATAAAAAGCTATATGGAAACTGTACTATTGCATAAAGATGAGAGGGTACACTAATTTGTTGTATATGCATCTGAAATCTTGCCAAGATATAACATTTTAGCAAGGAAAGTTATTGAATCTCACCTTAAGGACAGAACGTGGTTGTGTCTTACTTTCTTTGTTTTCTTTATTGGCCTTCAGTTTGGCAGTCTCCGTTGTGATGACCTGAACATCCTTCTGTCTCGTTGCAAACTCCATCTTTCTCTAGGAAATCAATTAATTTCATGTTTGATAGGTTCAATAGTGTTAAGTTATGATAATTAATACTAAATGTAGTACTGTAATGTGCAGATGGGGGAACCAATCATACCTCTTTCCATTATCTCTAAATTATGTTTTACATTATTAAATTCATACTCTGAGTGCACATGCCTGCCATAAGATTTCCAGTTTAGTACTTACATGTAAGTTGACCATTCGTGCTTGTGTGCTCATTGCTTGTTTCTCTAGTTTTTCATGCTGCTCTTGCAAAGTTTCAAGCTAAAATAGATATAGAAATACACCTAAATTGTCTTCTTTGCCACAAATAGAGGAAACCTTCGATGAAAAAGTGTTGCGACATTTATGAAAACCAACATTGATAAATGAGTGACTCAATCTTACACTATATTTTGTGCAATGGTTTAATAAGTCAGCATTGAATATTGGCTATTATATTCTTTTAATTTCCCTAGTTTTGCTGTCCCTTGTGTATCTTGCTTCAAGCCCAACTGTTAACCATGCCACCAATTTGGTTGAGGAAACAGAGAGTCTAGTGGCTGGGTGGTGCAAAACATATACCTCATGCCTCAATGTTTCATTGGCCTGCTTCACTGTATCAAAGTTGTCCTTCAGGCGCTTGTTTTCTCGTGTTTTTTCTTTCAATAATTCTTCCATTCTCGACAACTCTGCTTTGTGTTGCTGGAATAGAAAGGGGTCCTTTAAGATGCAATATGACTGACATCCATAGTTTAAAGGCTCATAATCTATCACACACACAGCAGAGTGAAACAACAAAGAAATATTCAAACATCTCTGAAATCTGAGGACTGGTTGCAGTTTTTACATTTCAACAAATTATTGAAAAGAAATCTGAAAAATACACAATTACACATCCTCAATGTTATGTTCATTGAATGACAACAATTGAATTTGAAAAATAAATTTTGGCAGTAATGGAACTTACTACTAACAGTATTATGGAAAGAATGCGTTTTGGATCTCCATTGACTTAATTTCATCATTGGTGAATATCCTGTTAGTCACATCATCCATTTGATCTTTTGACAGTACCAGAGTTTTTACAGAGTCTAATTGTGGGAAAAGTACTCCACTTGATGTGTTTTTGTGTTCTGTTCTATTCTGACAGTGATTTATTATGATCTGGGTTGACCATTGTGTATAGGGGGCCATCTATTTTTAGAATAAAGACAGACTTATTTACCTCCTCATACTCCTTCCACCTCCTGTTTACTTCCTGTGCAGCAATACTTTTTACATTTTTTTGTGACACATCAATAAGTCTTTCTTTTTCACGCAGAAGAAATTCCCGTTCTTGTAATATTTTACTTTCTCTCTGAAAAGTGTAATACTGTTTTAATAAGATTCACTGAAATAATGACACTAAATGAAATGTATGTACAGTTAGTCTTGTATCAAGACATCACACATACCCCCATCCATTCTCTCACTTGCAATAGAGAGGGGATGCATACAGAGGGAGTGGGGGGGTACATGAAGTGTCTTCATGCAAGACATGTCTCCATGTATGTGGTGATGATGAACTATGGTGAGTCCTTTTCAGTAAATCTTGGTGCTGAATCAAAGAAACCAGAGTTTATTTAACAGATTCATACTGTCAAGAGGCAATCAATGTACATCCTTACTGCAAGGGTATTTTACAAGTATGTAAATTTAAGCATAAATGAAGTTGTTTGAACACTGGTGATCCACTCGATTACGCTGGGTTTGTTTTGGTAACAAAATGTCGAAAAACAGCTAAGATCTGCACTTTTAACCAAAACTGTTTCTGCAACTTAAGTGAGGAATTAAATCGACGATTCTGTTGTCTTCTGAGCTATTTTTTCGCAAACATGTACATTTTCTAAAACATATGATACTATTTGTGAGAAAAAACGTCGTGAGGATTCTGCCTACATTGCGTGAAATAAGGAAAAAAGAAAAATCGTACCTTCGACGTTCCGTCATTTTGTTACCGAAACTCGGTAACCAGCATAATCGAGTGGATCACCAGTGTTGAAGTAGGATAATCAAAGTACTATGAGAAATCTTTCAACAAAATTATTTGTTATTCAATAGGGTGGCTCAAAATAATTTTTTTTTGGAAATGTTATGCTCCCTATGTGAATCGAGTTGCATTTTGGGGTAAATATCACCTGTGATTTTTTTCAAATTTTTTAGTCAACTTTTAGGGGTCCCCCACAGCCTTTGAAGTTTGCCCATAGGCTTAACATTAGTGGGCGTCGCCCAAAATCATACTTTATAGAAGCTTTTCTTCTAGTGATTTATTTATGTTGTTTGAAGAAAACCAACATTGTATATGATATGATTAGATGTTTAAATCATCATATTACTCTGTTTCATCATCTGAACTTATATAAAAGGTTATACTTACAATATTCTATTAACAAAATATCAGGTACATTCGACCAGTATAATTATTTGAACAAGTACAGCTTTAGAGAATCATGTCTCATATATGATTTGGTATTGTCGTTAGAATGGTTTAAACTGTAAAGGTATATTAATTCTTGACATTTGATGTTTTAAGCATGGTTCAGATCAGCTTTTCTTATATGTGACACTCTTTCTCTATGATCTGAGCGTACAACATATACATTGTCACGATGCGCCGCGTCACGGGTCATTTGAGAGCATTCCAGTACCAGCTTCACTGCTTGTTCAGCTGGATCATTAACAGAATGCAGGTCTTGACATAAATTCTATCGCCAGTACGACCCTGATATAGCAAATGCAGCTCTTCGCAGTGTAAGACACCATCTATGGTACCTTTGCCCTGAATTAGTTGTTTTGTCCCTATTCGACAAATACACTGCCAGAGAGGAGAAGCAGGGGCTTGATACAGCACTGCTCAACATCCCACAGCCTGTACAATTTGCAACTGGCAAACCAGGACAGCCTGACTTCAACCCAGTTGCTGCTCACTTAGGCAATGTTAAACCATCACTAGCAATGTGTATAACTGAGAGATCCAATTATATGGCTTCATGAGAATCCAGTTGCATGGCATACATATCCAACTTATGTTCAAACCCAGAATTTCTGTCAAGACCTGCATTCTGTTAATGATCCAGCTGAATGAGCAGTGAAGCTGGTACAGGAATGCTCTCAAATGACCCGTGACGCGGCGCATCGTGACAATGTATGTGTTGTACGCTCAGATCATAGAGAAAGAGTGTCACATATAAGAAAAGCTGATCTGAACCATGCTTAAAACATCAAATGTCAAGAATTAATATACCTTTACAGTTTAAACCATTCTAACGACAATACCAAATCATATATGAGACATGATTCTCTAAAGCTGTACTTGTTCAAATAATTATACTGGTCGAATGTACCTGATATTTTGTTAATAGAATATTGTAAGTATAACCTTTTATATAAGTTCACATGATGAAACAGAGTAATATGATGATTTAAACATCTAATCATATCATTTACAATGTTATTTTTCTTCAAACAACATAAATAAATCACTAGAAAAAACAGCTTTGACAAAAGTATAATTTTGGGCGACGCCCACTAATGTTAAGCCTATGGGTAAACTTCAAAGGCTGTGGGGGACCCCTAAAAGTTGACTAAAAAATTTGAAAAAAATCACAGGTGATATTTACCCCAAAATGCAACTCGATTCACATAGGGAGCATAACATTTCCAAAAAAAAATTATTTTGAGCCACCCTATTATTCAATCCTATGATTCAAATGAAGTTCTTAGTGCTACCATGCTACAATGCCACAATATGTGTGGCCAAATATGATTTGACATTCTGTGACACACTCAATTTGACATATCAGACATTTGAATTCGTACCTTCAATCTGTCACTAATTGCTTGTAGTTCTAAGTATACTTCTTCGACTTCCTCTGGTAAATTTCTTGAGGTCATCCCTAAGTCGTCCAAACTCTCCAAGCTTGACGTATCATCTCTTACACTAGGCTCTTTTTGATGTGAATGATGTTTACTGTCAATATAACGTCTACCAGCCTCACTTTGATGTTTTCTACTGCTAAGTTTCTTTCTCCTGATTCGTGCATTATAATGTCTTTGTGACATATAATCCTCAGATTCAAACAATTGAGGGTCACTATCTGGTTCATCATTGTGGGACATATTGGTTGGTGTCAATGTTGACTCTGAAAGTAGTTAAGTCAGCTTGTTACATGTGTAGCACCACTAGGTTGGGAAGTTTCAATTTGCCTAACAAGTACATGTACAACACGTTTTTGAGAGATAGATTCGATTCCGAAATCTTCTATAATAATCTGAAAATAATATCAAAACAAAATGGTAAGAGCCTTTCTAAAATTGTGTCCAAAATCGATAGAGTATTTTGAGGAAAACAAGCGATTTTTCGAGAACAAGTAATGGATTTGGACCGGGATTTTAGCAAATTAGAATATATGAGTTTTTGATCTACTACTTTGACAGAAAGATTGATACTAAGTTTAATTCGTAATTTGTGCTCAATTCATCAACTTCAGATTCGTTCGATCCACACTACGGAGCTTTGATCAAGCAAATAACAGTTTACCCCCAGAATTTGAATAAATAAGATCTTTGCTCAGGGTATTGTTCATCGAATGGTACATAATATGTCAACATAACATATGATATGTAAGAGAAACGAGTGTTGAAACAATACATAGTGGGATCTTCATGAATGAAGCGTGAATGAAACGCTCCATCATGCATGTAAGAGCATTTAGGTTGGACACCGTGATATAGTATCAAAGTTTCTCTTTACTTAAAGATTATATCAGAGTAATTTAAATCCACTAATTTTTACCCAGAGATATAAGCCACATAATATATTATAAACCCCATTCTTCTGATCCTTACATGTAATTTCATAATAGCTTTAAATGTAACAACATATCTTTTATTGAAATGAAAATCAAATGAACTTACCAGGGTCATCATTGTTGAACATATCTTCCTCACTGTGTGTTCTATACATTGTCTGTTAATTGATCTGAAATTTATGAAGAACTCTTAACTGTAAGGGTTATATCAATACTTAATTTCAAAGAAAATGCATAACCCCCTCCCCCTTCCTGAGGACAAACTCCAGACATCTAAAGTAAGTGGCCATTCAAGGGAGTAAATTAATAGAGCTGAAAAGTGAAACATACCAGGTACATTTAATTTTGCAGAGAGGATCACCATGGCTCCTAAAAATCCTCAAGATTGCTGTAAATAGTAAATACACGGTATACATAGACTACACATCACTGGAAAGTTCAGAATAATCTCCAGCACATTTGAAACGTGATTTGATTGCCAATTGCCGTAACTGACACACTTTCAACTTGCCCCACAAATGCAGATATCTAAAGTAGTTTTTATGCAGTATTATCAAAAAGTTAGGGTAAAGATTTGAAATAATCAACAATGTACATTTCAGAAACACTTTGGAGAAGATTCTGGAGAGATTTTGTGATACGATTTGATACCAGAAAGGAGAACACGTACCAAGAAAGCAAGTTTTGAAAAGATTTTCAGTCGGACTTGTCAATATATTTTTAGATTCAATACATGTCAATACATGTTCTGTCCCTGGGCCTGCCCTACAGTATGCTAAACACGGATTGGAGTAATCGTTCTGCGAAGAATAGTATCAAAAAGCTTTTAGGATTGGATACAAGATTCAAGTCTATTTCAAGACTGCTGACTCTCGTTTGGCTATTTATCACTATTACAAGTGTACATGAAATATGGGAAGTTGCCTACCCTTCTAAGCTGGATACCAATGTAAAAGTTAACAGACTTTTTAGTGGTTATGAGTCTAAGAAAGCATTCTTGTGTTTCAAATTGATTTCTGTCATAACTTGAAACCATCTTCTAATTTATTCCACTTATCTTTTGTTGTTTCTCCAAATATATTCTTTGAAAATGAGATTTGAAGGGTGGTAATAATTTATAAGTGCAATTCTGTGCCACTTTAATCAAAAATCCTGTTGCTACCCCAGGAGGTTCACTATGTACAAAATTTGGCGGGGGTCCTATGCTGAACCCTCAGATATCAATATATTCCCATACCAAAATGTCTAATTTGGATGTGTTCCTATACCAACCAATACAGTATCCAAAAACCAAATGCCCAAATATGAGAAAATGTCTAATTTGGATGTGTTCCAAAAACCATACCAAATGCCCAAATATAAGACCAATGCCATACCAAATGTCTAAATACAGGACTAATGCCATACCAATGCTATGACTGCCTGGTCCAAAGTAGAATATTTCCCAGGAAAAAGGCTAATATTCAACCTGAAGAAGGTCCCAAGAAGAAGGTGATCTTTGAGGAAAACATTTCAAAACAACTTAAATTTAAGGAAATGTGTAACTACTAGACCAATGCCATACCACAAGTGTGAGATAACATATTTTCCATGATCATTCTCATACCAGAAAATGGGAAAATCTGACCATTGCCATACCTCAAAAGTCATTATGTGGGGGCATTCTCATACCAGATCCTAAATTTTGGGTCCATTGCCATACCAAATGTCAAAAAAAAAGGTACCCCATGTGCGCCGAGGATCCCCATCAAGGTTTATACACAGTGAAGAGTGAACCCCCGGGGTTGCTACCTAGAAACGAGCAATTGTGATCTTGTTACCTACAAACGAGCAATTGTGGATGTCACGTCACACTCATGTGAATTCAAGAATCACATGACAGCCATTTTGGAAATTTTCCAATTAAAATGGCTAAATGCTGTTTACAAATTGGAAGCTATTGCATAATCAACAAAAGGTTTGTGAAAAAATTAGAATAAGGTTTCGAAATTATGCACAGGACAATATATTACTACTGCAGTAAAATTTTAAATGTTTGGAACTCCTTTGAATTTAAAAAATAAGCAATCAAATGACTTTATTGCAACAGTATATGAAAAAATGAAAACATATGTACAAGTCCTAACTTTTGTACATTTCAGATAGTTATGTATAATGTGCAGCAAAGCTTTGGCCTTTAGTAATTAAGGGAGTTTCAGCCATGTTCATTTTTTCGAAAATAACATGGCAGAGAAGCATCAAAATATAATAGGCCACAGATATGATAGCTAAACTACAAAACAAACTAAAATATACAAAAATTAGGACATGTATAAATGTTTCTATTTTTACATATTCTGTCTCAATATGGTCCTTTAATTACTCAGATGCGAGTAGGTACCCTTATACAAATTTACTGGCTGTCACAGCCCGCTGTCACAGCGCTCTCACAGCCCGCTGTCACAGCGCTCTCACAGCCCGCTGTCACAGCGCTCTCACAGCCCGCTGTCACAGCGCTCTCACAGCCCGCTGTCACAGCGCTCTCACAGCCCGCTGTCACAGCGCTGCGACAGCGCTCTCACAGCGCTGCGACAGTGCTCTCACAGCGCTGTGACAGCCCATCGGAATGTACCATGCAAATGAGGCTGCGACAGCGCTCTCACAGCATTGCCATATATGGCATTGATTATGCATCCTTCCTTCCTACACATAAATTTTAGTTACCTATAGCAACAAGACAAGAAGGTAAGGGATATCAGAAAACATTTAGCTACCCAGACCCTGCATTTCCATCCAACTGATGACCATATATTTGCACCCTAGATCAAGTTTGCATTTAATTAGAAACTTACTTTATGGATTAAAGCCAGCTTATATATCTACACTCCTTATTTGGTTTTTGGCTTGAATTCCATTGTTCAGTTTGAAAGATAGCTGTTATTGTACATGTACATGCAAATTGCCCCAATTGTATCAATTTTATCCTTTATGATGCACTATATGTGCATGCTAATACATTGATATTCCATACCTTTAGTTTAACCATGCAGTATGTACTAACTTGCACAAAATTCATTTCATTTGATCCTTTTTCTTAGATCACTAGAACATTCCAAAGGTATCTATAAATAATCAGTAGTACAATACCTTACATATGCTTTGTAAATTAGTAATGATATGATGGCCATTTCAGCATAACTCCTTTGTTCTTTCCTCCTACAAAATTCCTGCTCTAACTGATTTTTAGTTTGAATTTTTTTACCCACAATGCATTGGTACTTCCTGCTGTGAGGGCTGTGAGAGTGCTGTGAGAGCGCTGCCACAAACTGTGGCTAAGAGAGCATGTTGCTGTAATTGATTCAGCCACTTAATTACTGTCACATCCCTCTCGCAGCGATGGATGGAAATAGAATGCTGTGACAGCGCTCTCACAGCGTTTTCGCAGCGTATGGATGTGAGAGGATTGTTGCTGAAATTGATCCAGCCATCATTTTAAGCCTATTACAGCGCTGTCACAGCGCTGTCGCAGCAATAATTTTCTGTAAGGGTAGTTACCAGTTTCGCCACCAGGTGGCTGATTCGGGGGAAATAACATGGCAGGGTATTACAAAATTCCCTTAAACTTGAATATGCATCAGTTTTAGTGGCTCACTTTTCATATTACCCTTATGTATGTGATAGTTCTACAAATTGAAATATATGAGTCCAGTAAAAGAAAATATTATCTGCCCAACACAAGAAAAGATATTTCACTTTTTGTGGTTTTACAACATGTAGTCTATGGGTAATCTCCCTGACGTAGAAGTCACATTTTCAAAAAAATTAAATTTTCAAAGTTGATAAACTCTTTTCAAAACCACATGTCTAGATATAATTTTATATGTAGATTCCAATTATGACATCAGTTAGACTGAATTGTAAATTTTTAATGACGTAAACCAAGATTATTTCTACTCGCGTCTAGGATATTGCTTATTTTTTAGATTCAAAGTAGTCTAGTTCCAAACATTTAAAATTTTACTGTAAATGCAGGCAGGAACTTTTTATTGCCAAAAAGTTGAGTATCCAAATAGATTGTTATCTACCTTGAAAGCCCATGACTATGCCTTCAGGGCTGTCAACTTGGGAACATCTAACATGAGTGACCAACAAAGGTTGAACACCTTCCTTCAAAGGTGCAAATATTTTTGAAACAAATTTCGTGATATACACATATTTTGGACCAAATGTGTGACATATACAGAAATTGCGTGCAAAGTCAGAATGGAATGCGTTCGTTTTTTGCGACGTATAAGCATTTTGTAAAAAAAAAGATTTTAAAAATTATCAACATAATGCGTGCTTTGCGTGACATTTTAACATACACACTAAATCGATGCATGATTTCTATTTTTCCAGCAAATGTGTGACAATCACGCCAAGTGTGTGAGGGTTGACAGGGCTGATGCCTTAGAGTCTAGAATTTTTTTCATGGCCTGACTTCGTCACTTAAACATGCTAAATATAAGAGTTAGCTGAGGTTTGGGAGTCTGACTTACCTTCTAAAGGTTAGAACCCGAATCTTAATGAAACCATATCACCTTTGTTGCATCGTTGATGATGCATAAACACAGCATTTGATAGAAATTAGTGTAAATGCTTTTCCGAATTTTTCATTTTTCATCAATGTTGACTTCCGGGAAGGCGTTGTAGTTATCATGAAATAACGCATTGACCCTTGAACTTTACTTTGTTGACGTGTCAACCAAGCATGTCTGGTGTGAAAATTAAAAGAATATTAAGCAATGTTCTACATCCGCCAAGCTAAGTGAAGTAGCCAATATTTAAAATTACCAATTTCAAGTGAAGTACGCAACGAACGAAACTGCGTGATCTACACTCCCACTTTTGGTCTGAACGAAATGCTACGTAGAAATATGAGCCGTCTGCTGTATTAGTCGATTAATAGAGTAAGACCTGTTGGTGATGCTTTATAATTTAGACCAAAACATTGAAGAACAAACGAATCTGTAAATCGTGAAAACAACGAACAAATATTCGGTTTTCACATATGTTCGGTAATTTTTCGTAATGAAACTTCCGGAACTTACAAGGAAATCATTCATTTTCACGGTCCATGATTTACCTCTTGGATGTTGTGGCAAATGCTCCATGGTTGACGGAACAAAGGTGATATGGTTTCATTAAGATTCGGGTTCTAACCTTTAGAAGGTAAGTCAGACTCCCAAACGACAGCTAACTCTTATATTTAGCATGTTAGCGACGAACTCAGGCCATGAAAACAATTCTAAAGACCTATTCCATTCCAATCTGTTGCTAAAGAATATTTTGTCAGAAAATAAGTATCATTTAGAGAACAACAACTTATTGGATACAACAAATGTATAAGCATTAACTGATTAGTGCATGTTATATGTACTTACGTTCCCGATTTGCATAGAAAATTGCAATACAAATATAAAAATAGTATTTTGAATTTCCAGCATTTTAAATTCTCGCGAGATGATACGAGATAACCGATCATTTTGCAATGCGTAGAGCTCTTAATGAATCTATATTTAGAAATTGTACAGGCGCAACACTTTGATACGATTTAATGAAAAAGAGGCCAAATTTATGTGGCTTACTTATTGACATACATTAAATTCTTTAAAATATTTTATCAGAATTAATCAGTAAAATGAGGTTGACGCATCCCTAGATGGAAAGTTTGATCACGTGACTTTTGTAAATAAATGGCCGCCGTAAATTCACCAGAAAATTATTTATTCTTATATTTTCTGTAATTTAGTCAAGATATCTTCGAAGGAAACGTGCATACAAATAAGAAGTTCTGGATTGAATACATTGTGAGTATATAGATTGATTTTCTTAACAAAAAATCTGAACAGAATTAGAACAATATGAATTATCTAGTCTAGATTGATAACCATCCTATCGTCCCTCTAGCCTACTATTAGCAGGCCTGTCAACTTGGGAACACCTAACATGAGTGACTTGGAAATGTTGAACACCTCCCCTCAAAATGTGGACACCTTGGTCCAAATCTGAACACCTAGATCCAAATTTTGAACACCTTGGTTTAAATTTTATTACATTTTGCCAAATTTTGAACACCTCAAATTTTTCGCATTTACAAACATCAGTCAACGTGGGGGGGGGGGGGGGGGGGGGGGGGGTAGGTACGGAAAATTTCGATCGGAATGCGTGACATATACGTAATTCGCGTGAAAAGTCCGAACGATATGCATACGTTTTTTTTCGGCGTTCGTATTTTTGCTGTGCAGACGATCTTTTTTAGAAATTTTTCTACAGAAATATCTTTGCTTGACAATTACCAGGACGAGGTAAAATGCGTATTTGCGTGACATTTTCTGTCACGCAAAAATAACTGGCGTGACTTCAAATTCTTCAGCAAATGCGTGACAAATACGCAAATTGCGGGACAGTTGACAGTCCTGTATTAGGGTTCTATGTCCTCATGTACCATATTTGAGAAAACTGAGAACAAACATTTAGGTACCTCTATCTTTGTGATACAGTAAAGTAGAATGTTGACATGAATGATTATGCATCATATAGCCAAGATGAATTCTGATTCAAATGTTTTTAGTTTGTCTGAGTTAGGCCCTAGGGCAACATTTGGCTTACAGTTGGGGACAAAAATAAATGACAGGTCGATTTTCGATCACCATTTCCTAATTATGGTGGTCTGAAAGCCCATAATTTCCAATATTGTCTAGATACATATCCCTTAAAATTTGTATATTTTACATTTTGTATAATCTCATCCACTGATTTATGGCCTCTTGTAAATTCTCTTATTTTTAACATGGGAAATCCTCACTTCAGCAAATCCACCTGTCATTTATTTATGTCCCCAACTGTAGATCTAACATCTTCGTTGACATACCTATTTTCTTAAAATATATGGATAAATTATCAATTAGCATTTAGAAGTGTAAATTCAGTCCAAAGCTTCTATAAAGGGTGTCCCACTTATATACTGTACTCCGGGTAAATTTTGACGCTATAAAATTTCGCGATTTTTCAAAATTGCAATTTCAAGGCTATTTAATTTCGCGGATTTGAGTTGATGACATTTCGCGGATTGCACAAGTTTAATTTTTTTCTGATTACCGTGACTGAATCAATGCGTATCTGGCTATTTTAGCCTGTTCGGAATCCGAATTATGTTTCTATTTCCCACGGGCATTTATTTGAATATTCTTGAATGGCCTTTTCAACTTCAATTTGTAGGATATCATTGTCCTCAACAGTTCTTGCCTTTGTTGGCCTTATAAGCCAATTCAAAATGTTAGACATTTTAGGCCTTTTTTGAATTATTACCCAACAAGACTGGACGAAACGCTTTACATCAAACAAAACATATCATAAGTCCTGGGATTTAAAAGACAAATTTCGCGACGATAAATGTTCGCGATTTTACCACATTCGCGAACAAAGCGAAATTAAATCGCACGCGAACAATACCGGGAGTACAGTACAGATTTTATATATCCAGAGCAAACATGATAAGGCATGATAACATTTTCTGCTTTAAAAGGAGGATGGTATTTTTGTATAAAATACAGGCGCTCCTGCAAAGGAATAGGTGACACATCTTGTAATGCTCATAAAGGTGCATCTAATTCAGCTAGCAATCTGAAACTTCCTGTGGGGCTGCTCCATGGAGTAAGGTTTTACTATACACAAGGACATTCATCCAGATAAAAAAGTTATGCAACATTTAACATTATGTGGGTGGTTGTCATTGTGTCTGTGTCACACTGTATATACTTTTTAATTAAATGTAAAAAGGTTTTAATATCTCCAATTTGAATCATGACATTGAATGTTAAAAAGTTTTATCTCAAGAGATAGAACCATGAAGCAGTAATTATCTTTTCAAATGAAGGACATAGAACCTTATTGCATTAGAAATATCCTATTTTTGATGGAGATACATGTACAGCTTTATAACCTTAAGTTTTGAAAAGAGCATGGTGAATTTAGGGGAATCCACCTTCTAATTAAATTTGGCAAGCATTTAATTTTAAAATTGCCAAACTAAATACTTGCCTAAATGCCTTGAAAATTGACATGTTTTTCAATAATAAGAGATATACCAAAACGGCCAGGGCCATTAAAATTTAGAAATATTCTAGGATATTGTTAATCAACAACATTTAAATGAGTATCTTGAATCGGGTAAAACAGCCACACACAACATGTTAATATAAATAGATATGAGAATTACCCCCTGTAAAAGAACCAAATATTTTTCCATTGACTTACATGTTAACGGACCCTCTCTGTAGGGAAAACCTGTGAACAGGGAACAAGGAACACTATTTTGGTGCAAATTATGAAAATTCACCTGTGAACAAGGAATATTGGTGATACTGTATATTCCATTATTTTTCAGAGGTGTGAAAGTCTTAAGCCAATATCTGATTCTAAAAAGCTTGGATTAATATGATTGAGATTAAGATAAGCCAATTATTTACACGATGAAGCATTCCACCCACTGTTAATTACCCTGATATATTTTAAAACTAATACTAATCTGTTTGTTACTAATTATCATGACTCTAATTCTTCCTTTCAACAAACATAATTACATCAAATCAGTTGTGATAATCTAGGGATTGACACAATTGTTTTATGGAGATAACAGATAAGTACATGTGTCATGTTGAGCCAAATCTACCAATAATTACAACAACTAGACATCATCATACGCCAGCAGCAGCGACTAAAATCAACATCGGGAGAATGCTCCTTACCCTCAGCTAAAGGAGGGAGGTGGGAGACCTTCATACATCTTCCAAGATGTCACAACAAGGTCTAGCAAACAAGTATGGAGTCGGCATTGGTAAAATCAATTAATGCCCAAATATATACAAAAAATGCTTATTCGGCAATTCTGAGTTTGCTGAAAGTGCAGCCCCTCTCTATAGGGAAAACCTCTGAACAAGGAAACTTTCCTCCAGTCCGAAGAGCATTCCCTGTTCGCAGGATTTACTGTAGATGCCAAAATGTCCAATATCCCAAAATCGCTGAATTACGAAGAGCAAAATAATTTAATTAAAGATGAATACAGTACACTAAACAAAGAGCTCTGCCTTTATAAAGACAGTATGGCTCACAAAGAAGTAGAGATCGTTCATTGAAATCCCCAAAATATTATTCCAAAATGTTACTAACAAATAAATGGTTGTAATCCTTGCATAACATAATGTTAGATAACCATAATGTATGTCTGATATGCATTAATTAACATCATCTAAACCCCAGAGAATAACCACTGGTTGCAATATTTTTATATATTTTCAATGTTCCTCCATAATCTGAAGCAATTTCATGTGAAAAAATCTCAATCATCTAAAATCAGAGTATTTGTGTATTTACTTCCCATATGCCCTGTCGTATATCATTTATCTCAGCTGGGTACATATTCTCTATGATAGGATATTGTCTTTGATCATTTTCCCATTATTGATTAATACGGTGTGGATGGCAGATGACATTTTGATCAATCGAAGCATTTCATGAGATTGTGAGGGATTATGCAAAGATCTGTATTTTTCAGGCCTCTAAGCTTGCTTTCATCAGGGGTAAACAATCCAGAATTGTCATCTTTTTTGTTATTGAACTGTTCAGATTTCTTACTTAATAAACAAAAACATAAATTGATTCCTTGAAATTCATGCTGCCTTGAAGACTAGACAATAATTAATTTGAGGTAAGATATGTCAGTTCCCATTCATGTAATATAGTTGGATCCAATATAATCAATCAATTCTCTATAGCATACTGGAAGACTTTGTCTATATGTCCAATTGATAATGAGAATAGTAAAAATGTTTTTGCATCGTGGATTCATATTTATTTACATTAGTTATGTCTAACCATATTAATATCTACATTTGCTGACCATAATAATTGCAAATGTACGAACACAATTATTGATTTGCGTATTGTACACAAAAATTATATCCATGCTTGCTTACCTTATTTTCAATAGCATCTAAAATGGTACGATGTGCCATTAGGATGTATTGTCTGGGCATTTGTAGATAAATCACTTCATGGTTGATTTCTAGAGATGCTTTATATTTTGGGCATATTGTGTAAATGTAATATTTAATAAGAAGGTGTGGCATCACATCTGTACTATATTTAAACCATTTAGAATTTAAGGGGGTATGTATGTCTGTATGTCTATCTATCTGTTTATCTGTGTACATGTTCAGATTAGACAGGTTTTACTGCATCCTACATTTATTTTTGAAAATGGTTCGGTGTTAACTATAGTAACCTTTTTGCAGGAATCATTCCAAGAGGAACCAAAGAGCATAATATACCCTTTAGCAACAAAGCACAACATAGTGATACTCAATGATGCACTGGATGATGTGGACAGTGAAATAGCTGAACTCAGAAATTACATGAAGCACTGTAGTATTGTGACTAATATTGGACAAATATAGCAGGTAATAGTGTGTCTGTGCAAACATTTATTTTAGTTATGCTAATAACATGGACATATGCAAGTTTATATTGTAATTTCTACTTGACAAAGAAATATTGATGTTTATATTAAAGGGGCAACAAGGCCTGTAGAGAGAAAATTAGAAAATTTTTACTTTTTCTGAGCTATCAGGGCAACATCTTCTTTGACATACCTATTTTCTTAGAATGTATGATCCCTCTGCACTAGTCGTGCACCTTTAAGGCTTAAACCTGCACATCGCTCCAAAACGCAATATGTTGACATATAGTATTTTTACATTTTCAAGCTCTAGTATAAAGTAGGTGTAAATAAAAATTGTTTGCGTAATATCAAAGCACAATGATTTAGTTAAAAAAATAAAAATGTTTGTGCGGGATTCTAATCCGGGCCACCTGCGTACTCAGGGAGCATTCTACCACTGAGCTACCAGTTTAGTACAAACAAGAAGAGTAATTAAATTATTTTAAGTGTTATGATTTGGTAGTGACGTCATGTTCTAAATTTAGAAACCTTCCAAATATCATATCGATGCCTATACACATTTATCTTGAGTATTTTAACATGAGTATTTTAACACATACTGTCTGGGCGAGAAACCTATGGTATACTGCATCGTTAAGTTAACTGAGTTTTAATCCCAGTGTTTATTTTAGGTGCAATATGTCAAAAGTACGACAGGTTGCTTTACTCCCTGCTGGCTGTCAGCCATGGAACACCGATGTCTGTGATGCTAGCGGAGAAAGGTTCGCCTACTCTGCAACCTTGGCTATCTATATATACCAGGTAAGCCTTGCTTTCATTTTACGAGGGGACAAAGTACATGTAAACTATGAATTCTTGAAGAGCTCTACTCGGGGAACACTCGCTCCACATTGTACTCTGATTGGTTGAATGCCATACTGTAATAAATGATTGAATTTAGTCAAAGGTTAAGCGCACTAACCATATGAGATCATGGTGGTTTAATGAGAATATAAAATAAATGTATTAAATACAGTAGTTATGATATTACACTAATTAAATTGATAAAGTAATAATCTAGATGCATGTTGTAACAACAATGTACACAGAGCAAGTAAATTAGAATAACAAAAGAAATTCTACTGCCACAATTACTCACTCTTTAATAGCAATGTATCTTTGCAATACTATATTTAGAGCCTTCTAGGTATGATATGCAAAAATGATAACAGGTGAAAGTTATCTAGTATTTTATTACTCTGTGTGTGTATTGATTAATGGTGCTAGGTATAAACACCAGCCATAATCAATACAGACTACTGAGACAAATGTCCCCATAGATTGATGGGCATGTTGTAAAATGCAAAATACATGTATAGAACTGGAAAAGTGGAATTAGACTTGCAAAAAATAAAATCTATGGTTACCAAAGTAAACTCTCTTAATTATACAGAAATATAAGAAAATCAAAGGCTTCATTCAATGTTTAGCAAGAAATGACATGAAATAAGCACGAAGAGACAATTATTAAAGCAAGAATGGAACTAAAAAAAACTTGCATGAATACATTTGCAACATTTTCTATTTTATGATGAGCTGTGATAATTCTTCATGACTTCTTCAGAAAAATCATGTATACTCATAGATATTTTTATGTTGCCATGTTGTTGCCATGGTAATGGTTGTTTCCTAATGGGGTAAAGATGGTTGATTCTGAGTTAGTGAAATTCATGTACAAATTCTTTCTGAGTTAATCATGTACATTTAATAAATGTTTTCTAAGTTAGTCATATACAAGGTACATGTAATAAATCCCTTCTGAGTTAGTCATATGCATGTAATAAATGCTTTCTGAGTTAGTCATATACATGTAATAAAATGCTTTCTGAGTTGTCATATACATGTAATAAATGTTTTCTGAGTTAGTCATATACATTTAATAAATGTTTTCTAAGTTAGTCATTTACTTGTAATAAATGCTTTCTAAATTAGTCACATACAATATACATGTAATAAATCCTTTCTGAGCTAGTCATATACATGTAATAAAATGCTTTCTAAATTAGTCATATACAATATACATGTAATAAATGTTTTCTAAGTTAGTCATATACATGTAATAAAATGCTTTCTAAATTAGTCATATAGAATATACATTTAATAAATGTTTTCTAAGTTAGTCATATACATGTAATAAATGCTTTCTAAATTAGTCACATACAATATACACGTAATAAATCCTTTCTGAGCTAGTCATATACATGTAATAAAAAATTTTCTGAGTTAGTCATATACATGTATTAAAATGCTTTCTGAGTTAGTCATATACATTTAGTAAATGTTTTCACGTTAGATCATGTTTTTGGGATATATTTAGAGTTTGCTTTTTCTTGCTAAGTTTCATTACAACTTTTGGTCCTTTCCCTTTGGCACTTGTGCTTAGATATTTCTAAGTTAGTCATACACACGTAATAAATGCTTTCTGAGTTAGTCATATGTATATAATAAATCCTTTCTAAATTAGTCATATACAATATACATGTAATAAATCCTTTCTGAGTTAGTCATATACATGTAATAAATGCTTCCTGAGTTAGTCATATACATTTGATAAATGCTTTTTGAGTTAGTCATATACATTTAATAAATGTTTTTTAAGTTAGTCATATACATGTAATAAATCCTTTCTGAGTTAGTCATAATATTATGCTTTCTGAGTTAGTCTCATATACATTAAAAATAAATAAATGTTTTCTAAGTTAGTCATATACATGTAATGAAAACTTTCTGTGTTAGTCATATACAAGTAATAAAATGCTTTCCAATCTAAGGGCTCAACAACTTTTTGCAAGATTGTTGGAAATAAAATGAGTCAACAGGCAGTCTCTGGTTGTATTTCCTAAATCACATTTTATATCTAATAGCATATACATGTAAATTATAAAATATGTGTCTCTGAGGATAGTTGTAATAACCTGTTCTTTGTTCATTATTGTGATATAATATTCTTTTGAATCAATACAGCTAGCTCTAAGCATGTATGTAATTTGTGTTGTGAATTGTGTTCAACATAACCTACACCTGTCTTGCTGGAACAAAAGTCATGCTGAATCAACTTTTATTCTGATTTATTATCCCATTGAACGAAGTTCGGAGGGATATAGGGAACGCCTCCGTCCGTCCGTCCGGGCAATAACTCAAATACCGTTGGCCCGATTTTGTTCATATTTTGTATGCATATACCCTATGGGGGTAGAAGTTCTGCTCGAAAGCCGATTTTCAAAATGGCCACTCATTTCAAAATGGCGGCCATTTTAGTGCCGATTTTACAGTAATTTAGGTGCAATATGTAAAACTGTTATAGCAATATGTTTTAAATGTAAAAAAATGGTAAAGGACAATAATAATGCTACAAATGTAGATATTAAAGAAGCACATGGCAGCCATCTTGAAAAATGGCGGCCTTTACGTGTCATTTTACGATTTTTGCTGTAACTCAAAAAATAGTGGAGCGATTTTGTTCATATTTGGTATGTGAATACTATAAGCATTGCACACTGTCTGAAGGCACTTTTGGTAGAAGGCGGCCATTTTGTAAAATGGCCGCCATTTTAACGTATTTTACTATAACTCGAAAAGTAGTGGAGCGATTTTGTTCATATTTGGTATGTGAATACTATAAGCATAGCACACGGTCCTATGACACTTTTGGTAGAAGGTGGCCATTTTGAAAAATGGCCGCCATTTTAACGTATGTTACTATAACTCGAAAAGTGTCAAAATGGCCACCATTTTAACGTATGTTACTATAACTCGAAAAGTAGTGGAGCGATTTTGTTCATATTTGGTATGTGAATATTATAAGCATGGCACACTGTCCTATGACACTTTTGGTAGAAGGCGGCCATTTTGAAAAAAAATTTGAAAAATGGCCACCATTTTAACATATTTTACTATAACTAGAAAAGTAGTGGAGCGATTTTTTCATATTTGGTATGTGAATACTATAAGGATGGCACACTGTCTATTTCTGATGACACTTTTGGTAGAAGGTGACCATTTTGAAAAATGGCCGCCATTTTAACGTATTTTACTATAACTCAAAAAGTAGTTGAGCGATTTTGTTCATATTTGATATGTGAATACTTTAAGCATGGCACATTGTCTAATTAAACTTTGGGGAGTATAGTCGGCCATTTTGAAAAATGGACAACATTTTATGTGTGTGTTAGTTTACAAGTACGTGTGCGATTTTTCAAAAATTTGAGAGGTGGCTACTAAAAGCATATTGTTTCTTCTGATGACAACTTGGCTAGTGAGCAACCATTTTGAAAATGGTGGCCTTTCTGGTGTGTTGTTTTATGATATTTGCTATTCATTTGTAAAAATGCCAGCCATTTCTGTTCGATGGGATTCGCTACGCTTTGGCGTTGCCGTTGTTCTGGTTATGAATTATGATTGTGGTTAACAGTTAAATGATCCATTGTTATTAATGCTTCATTGCTTCTGTTAAAATCATTCATTGTTTTCTTGTTTTGAGAGAAATATGTTTTTGAATACATTGATTTTAATAATTCATATCAGTACTGATAGTTAAACATTAAACACTGTATAACCACAAAAGGATAGTACTGCATGTCTTTGATGTCTTACTTACACAACATTTTTATTACACCCTTTGGTGCTATAATTGTGATCAGTTTTCTGTATTTGACTTGAATCTCCACTTACTAATATATATGTACATAATATAAAAAATCATTGTTTATACTTTCAGCTCGATCGCAAATTCAATGAATTTAAGTTACACTCAGTGATGTCAGAACACAAGAAAACAATAACTGCGATATCCTGGAATCCCCGTAACCCAGACATTTTAGCAAGCACAGGTGCCGATAACCAAGTGATAGTGTGGAACATTCCCCAGCAGAGGGCACTGGATAAAATTACAACAAAGACGACACCTAATTCTGTTGGCTGGTGCCTTCATGAGAGAGACTGTGTGTCATTTGTGTGTGGACGCGGCCCACTCTGTATGTGGAATTATGGAACAGGTGGCGGATTGACTTTTCATAAAGAAGCTCAGAACTTCTTGTCAGATATTTGCCAGTTCCGTTGGCATCATAAAAAGCTAGGAAAACTTGCATTTGGTCACACTGATGGAAGCTTATCATTATTTAACCCAGGTATGTATGCAGAATTCTACCTTAGTAGGAATAGCATTTTACTATTTACAATAAAACTTCTGTATGTGATTATCTCTAAAACTAAACTTTCCCGATCATGACCAATTTTGCTGAAAAAAAATTATTTTGGGAAAACTACCTCAAGAATTTTAAAGATTTCTAAAATCTTGAGATCGCAGCTATGCACATTTAAGTGTGGGCTATGTCCAAAACTAAAAATCTGTTCAGAAATATGCACTGTGTAAGTCAAATTTGAGACATTTGTTCAGAAATGTTGTTAAGTTAGGCAGTGTATTTGACAATTTAGGGACGTATGTGAATGAATTTGTTCATACTTTCAGGTCAGAAAAGTCAGAAACATGTGCTACGTCCTGAGACTTTAGAAGGAACAGATGAAGAGGACCCTGTATCTGACCTAGACTGGGACCCTCTCTCCAGCGAGTACCTTCTTGTGTCAAACACCCACTTTGGTGTGCGGCTAATAGACACTGATTCATTATCAATTATTATGTGTTTTCAACTACCAAGTGCAGCAGCTCAAGTACATAGTATTGCATGGATTCCTAGTGCCCCGGGCATGTTTCTGACTGGAGGTGAGTTCATCTCATATTCATAGTGCCCCTTAAGGTGAATTAATTCATAGTGCCAGATAAAAGAATTCTATTTATTGGGTGTTTTATCACTCTTGGTATTTAACATCACAAGTTCTTTACCCGATCTTAACATTTTTAGTCAACAGATTGACAGATTTTATTGTACACTGTAATTTAGTTGCATGCTAACCAGAATCCATAAATTTATGAAACTGATTAAAATGAATGAAAATATGTTTGAATATAGATTCCCATGTTGGAGTTATGCGAATGTGGAATGTTTCCAAGGCCAGCCCTATTGAAAACATCAAGTTGAAGAAGATGGGCTTTCATGCCCTCCATGTATTCAGTACAGCCCCGCAACCTGGCAACAACAATAACAAAATGGCCACCTCGCAGGGGGTGTCCTCGACAAGTTATACAATTGCTCCAACAATGTCACAAGTAAGGATTTTCTATTTTTGATTTTTTGTCGATTCCATTCTGTCTTGGGACATTACTTTCTTTGAGAGTCAAATTTCCTATATACGTTTGTATGAGGAAAATAGTGAAGAATAAAGCGAAATAAATAATAAAGCAAAATACTATACCAGTACTGTTGTATTATTCCAGACAAATAGGTTTGCTCTGCCCCCTGCTCATGCTGTCTGTACATTCTTAGATGGAGGGGTTGGCTTATATGATCTAGGGAAACGCAAATGGAACTTCCTTAGATCTGAGGTATGTATCTATAAAAGGGATATCCCTCGCTAGCCCATTTCTCTTGATATGATAGATATAACCATTATTCCATATTCATCAAAATATGGTAAAATCTTTTGAAGGTTAGATCCTGTATTTAAAAATGCATTGCTCAATACCCTTTTAAAATTTCATCCAGGAAGTGATGTCATGAACTCTTTAACTCCCATAAACTTTAGTAAATATTTCTAATATGGCATTTCCATGGTTTTTATCTAGCAGGATTAAAATTGACTTCGTTTTTTGTTTAATTCTAACTTTAAATGATTACAAGCAATTACAGTACAAATATTTTAGAATCATGGAGTAGATATTTACATGTAGTAAATTGATCTCAGTTTAATTATAATTAAATCATGTCTTTGTGTAGGGACATGTGGAGACTATATTTGATTGCAAGTTCAAGCCAGACAACCCAGATCTATTGGCAACAGCAAGTTTTGATGGAACAGTGAAAGTTTGGGACATCACAGATATGACAGCTGTAAGTAAACATGTACTTCATGGTAATCATAAAATTTCTTTGATCTTATATCTTACGGTAATTCATGGTATGAATGGTTTGATTGAGAAGAATTCTGTTGAGCCCTGCTTATACATAATATTAAAATGTTAATTGTATTTTGCTGTGCTTTCAGGTAGAAACGTCTCCTGGTAATGAGGGTGTAATATATTCAATCACCTGGGCCCCTGGGGACATCAACTGTATCGCAGGCTCAACATCACGGCAAGGTGCCTTTATTTGGGACATCGACAAAGGAAAAATTGTCAAACGATTTACAGAGGTATAATATAACACTTTGAAAGGAACACTTTTTACCATAGAATTAAGAAAAATCAGTTTTCAAAAACATTATATATATTGAGGAGGCACAACTTGAGATATGTGAAATTGTAGCCTCATCTTTCAGGATGGTATCAATAGTTCATCCACTTCACAATTTATTTGATTTTTAACATGATAGTGACTTTTCAGCATGGAAAGCATAGTGTTTACTCTGTTGCTTGGTGTCCCAAGGACTCCCGTAGGATTGCAACCTGTGGGGCAGATGGTCATTGGTGGGTATTCAGTTATGTCCCAAAATTATCTTGATTATTAGAGAAACATGTAGCAAGTATTATTCACATATAGAAAATTGGTTACTTGGATACTTTCATTTTACCTGTCTCTCTGTTGCAGTATAATACGCCAGGTAGATGGCAAGATACTTCAGAAGTACAAGCACCCAGCTGCAGTGTTTGGCTGTGACTGGAGTCCTCATAACAAGTAAGTAAGATACTTCAGAAGTACAAGCACCCAGCTGCAGTGTTTGGTTGTGACTGGAGCCCTCATAACAAGTAAGTAAGATACTTCAGAAGTACAAGCACCCAGCTGCAGTGTTTGGTTGTGACTGGAGCCCTCATAACAAGTAAGTAAGATACTTCAGAAATACAAGCACCCAGCTGCAGTGTTTGGTTGTGACTGGAGCCCTCATAACAAGTAAGTAAGATACTTCAGAAGTACAAGCACCCAGCTGCAGTGTTTGGTTGTGACTGGAGCCCTCATAACAAGTAAGTAAGATACTTCAGAAATACAAGCGCCCAGTTGCAGTGTTTGGTTGTGACTGGAGCCCACATAACAAGTAAGTAAGATACTTCAGAAGTACAAGCACCCAGCTGCAGTGTTTGGTTGTGACTGGAGTCCTCATAACAAGTAAGTAAGATACTTCAGAAGTTCAAGCACCCAGCTGCAGTGTTTGGTTGTGACTGGAGTCCTCATAACAAGTAAGTAAGATACTTCAGAAGTACAAGCACCCAGCTGCAGTGTTTGGTTGTGACTAGAGTCCTCATAACAAGTAAGTAAGATACTTCAGAAGTACAAGCACCCAGCTGCAGTGTTAGGTTGTGACTGGAGTCCTCATAACAAGTAAGTAAGATACTTCAGAAGTACAAGCACCCAGCTGCAGTGTTTGGTTGTGACTGGAGCCCTCATAACAAGTAAGTAAGATACTTCAGAAGTACAAGCACCCAGCTGCAGTGTTTGGTTGTGACTGGAGCCCACATAACAAGTAAGTATCTGTGACATCCCTCAAGATCTCAATTCAATTCCTGAATTTAGTTTACCAGAAAATGTGCAAAAATACTTTGTCTTTTGTGTTTGGTGATTTATGAATGTATGTCATTTATCAACTTGCATAAATCTATATCCAAAGAAATATTTTCAAGTGCTCAGGCAATTAATAAAAACTAAAATGCCAGAGTTTATGTTCAAAAACTTTGTTCAACTGGCAATGATTCAACAGAAATTGATTAGAATTTACAAACATAGATGGCATTACAGTCATTCCTCCCATTAAAAACCATTTACACATATAAATAATCATTGAACTTTATCATAGATGTCTGTTTTATTGTTAAAGCCTATGATTATACACATAATATAAAAATGTCAAAATGATTAAAACAATAAAAATGCATTAAGAAATACTCCATATCATTTCATTATCCAATTACCATTTTTGACTTTCTGTTGTCAAAGAATGTTCAAGCTGAATATCTCTTCTATGAAACTGATTTTATTCTGGACAATAAAGTAAGCAGTTAAAGTAACCCTTAACAAACTTAAACACAAACAACTCATATTCACCCATTTCATCAATACCTCCCTATGATGTCACTATTATGATGTCAGGTTGTGACATCATCCCAAAACACTATTAATCAGCAGTGCATTTGTTTGTTCAAGGGACATGATAGCCACTGGATGCGAAGACAAAACAGTCAGAGTATATTATCTACCAACCAATTCAGAACAACCACTGAAAATATTTGCTGGTGAGTTATTCTACTAAATACTGTACAATTATACTGAATATATCATACTTGTTAGTATAACAAATAATTCGAATAAAAAAAATATAATTTACCCAAACCTGTCCTGGACAAGTGTTCTCTGTCTTGTTAACTGTCATAGAGAGGGTTACAATTTGACAGTCTCTATATGAACTTTCCTGTTTGCGCGACTGACATTTTAACAACATTTCTAAATGTTGTCGTCGTATCTGTCCACTTTTTATTGTTGATTTAAAATGATAGAATGTTATGTTACTTTAGGTCACTCTGCCAAAGTGTTCCATGTTCGCTGGTCTCCATTGAGGGAAGGCATTCTATGCAGTGGATCAGATGATGGGTAAAACATAGTCTAATTGTATATTTTTGGAATTTAATATTACAGGGTTATTTAGGATGAGAATATTACAGTTGTTAGATGTATAATTATTTGCTCACTGATATGATATACAAAGACTCACATACATTTTTGTAATATTATATCTAATAGCCATTTTGACATATTCTTTCACATTTTCACATATTGCTTCCAAATTCTCATATATTAAGTGGCTTCACATTTTCACATATTGCTTCCGAATTCTCATATTTTAAGTGGCTTCACATTTTCACATATGCCCTCACATTTCAGTGGGATACGCATCTGGGATTACACTCAAGATGCCTGCATAAACTTCCTTGAAGGTCACAAAGCTCCAGTTCGGGGTCTTCTATGGAGCTCTGAGATTCCATACTTACTGATATCAGGCAGTTGGGACTATACTATACGCATCTGGGACATCAGAGATGGTGCATGTATAGACACAGTTCTGGACCATGGGGCTGATGTATATGGTTAGTAAAGCTGGATTGGGTAACATGTAGTTCAGGGGGGACTATACTATACGCATCTGGGACATCAGAGATGGTGCATGTGTAGACACAGTTCTGGACCATGGGGCTGATGTATATGGTTAGTAAAGGTGGATTGGGTAACATGTAGTTCAGGGGGGACTATACTATACGCATCTGGGACATCAGAGATGGTGCATGTGTAGACACAGTTCTGGACCATGGGGCTGATGTATATGGTTAGTAAAGGTGGATTGGGTAACATGTAGTACAGTTGGGACTATACTATACGCATCTGGGACATCAGAGATGGTGCAGGTGTAGACACAGTTCTGGACCATGGGGCTGATGTATATGGTTAGTAAAGGTGGATTGGGTAACATGTAGTTCACTTGGGACTATACTATACGCATCTGGGACATCAGAGATGGTGCATGTGTAGACACAGTTCTGGACCATGGGGCTGATGTATATGGTTAGTAAAGGTGGATTGGGTAACATGTAGTTCAGTTGGGACTATACTATACGCATCTGGGACATCAGAGATGGTGCATGTGTAGACACAGTTCTGGACCATGGGGCTGATGTATATGGTTAGTAAAGGTGGATTGGGTAACATGTAGTTCACTTGGGACTATACTATACGCATCTGGGACATCAGAGATGGTGCATGTATAGACACAGTTCTGGACTATGGGGCTGATGTATATGGTTAGTAAAGGTGGATTGGGTAACATGTAGTTCAGTTGGGACTATACTATACGCATCTGGGACATCAGAGATGGTGCATGTATAGACACAGTTCTGGACCATGGGGCTGATGTATATGGTTAGCAAAGGTGGATTGGGTAACATGTAGTTCAGTTGGGACTATACTATACGCATCTGGGACATCAGAGATGGTGCATGTATAGACACAGTTCTGGACCATGGGGCTGATGTATATGGTTAGTAAAGGTGGATTGGCTAACATGTAGTTCAGTTGGGACTATACTATACGCATCTGGGACATCAGAGATGGTGCATGTATAGACACAGTTCTGGACCATGGGGCTGATGTATATGGTTAGTAAAGGTGGATTGGGTAACATGTAGTTCAGGGGGGACTATACTATACGCATCTGGGACATCAGAGATGGTGCATGTGTAGACACAGTTCTGGACCATGGGGCTGATGTATATGGTTAGTAAAGGTGGATTGGGAAACATGTAGTTCAGTTGGGACTATACTATACGCATCTAGGACATCAGAGATGGTGCATGTGTAGACACAGTTCTGGACCATGGGGCTGATGTATATGGTTAGTAAAGGTGGATTGGGTAACATGTAGTTCAGTTGGGACTATACTATACGCATCTGGGACATCAGAGATGGTGCATGTGTAGACACAGTTCTGGACCATGGGGCTGATGTATATGGTTAGTAAAGGTGGATTGGGTAACATGTAGTTCAGTTGGGTAAGCAAGATGTGACATACCAGTGAATGCTAACCAACAGGCCGTAATTCATTTTGTTTCATTTGGACCAGTTTAGTTTTTAGCATGTGCATGCATAAGTAGGCAGCTGCTGGTTGGTAGTTCAAGTTTGTCCAGTGGATCTGAGATTTTTCTGATATACTTTGTGACTGCATCTCTAAACTCTATCCACCCCCTTAAATCTTTCATTCAAACTTACATGTACATGTACATATTTATTTTTCAGGTTTAGCATGTCACCCATCAAGGCCATTTATCCTAGCTTCCTGTTCACGTGACTCTACCTTAAGAATCTGGTCCCTCACCCCCCTAGTGGAACCCCTACAGATGAATATTCTAGCCAAACGGCCTTGGTCTGAGATTATTGGAACTGCTGGTAAGTACATGTGTACTCTACTCTATATGGAAATGTAAGTACTCTATATAAGGACTACATATCTTGAATATTTAAATTAATAAAACTTCACGTGTATATGTATTAATGTCTGATTTTGTTCAGCAGAAAATGCCACATCAGGGGTATCTCCTTTGCTCACTGGGAAGGTGTCTAAAGATCTGAGGGCACAACTAGAGAAGCTTCAAGAACCAGAGTTATATTGTAAAACGCTGAAACTTTTCTCAAACTTTTTCACTGTAAGTAATGCTGACCAGGTTTCAATTTCAATTAAATATTTCATTTAAACATGCATCTGAAATGTTCTCACCATTTCTTCTCACCCATGAGATGTGTCTAGTGAAGCAGGAAAATGTGATAAATATCAGGATGCGATGGATTGAGGTTTGAAAATATACCTGCAAATTCCTTCTGTTTAGCTTTCAAGAAAGCTGTATACCCATGTGTTAAAAACCTTTCTCACATTTTTGCCATCACCAGTGACATAATACATATATGTGAATAGTAGTTGATACACTGTAACTTTGTAACAACCATTCAGTGTTTGGTGTTCAGCATCTGTAACAAATTGGTATAAACATATACATATAAGTCCAACTTGAGATGTCTTGATTTGTATTCATAAAAAGCAGTAATACTTGAACTTTAGGTGTAGATCCAAATAAAACTATTCTCATAAAATGCCTGTATTTATCTCAACCTTTCTTGTGGTGAAAATGAGTTATACAATATATGTAAATTGAAGTAGATATTTTCATTATATTGCAGCACCCAGGTGGTTCTCAGAATCTCTGGGAGTTAGTAGGGGTCATAAATGGCAAGGCTGACTGCTACTTATCCAGTAACTATAGTAAAGGAATTATGCACTCCAAGCATCTCACTAAGTACAAGGCTGTAAGTATTGTTTTTTGTAAACGTCAATATATTTCTATTGAATTAATTCTTCTCATTCTAATACTATTTTGAACAGTTTTCAGTCCAGCCAGTCCAGGTTCCTGTGGAGATCATCTCAGATAATACTCTGCTGTAAAAGTTAAAATCAGATAGAGTATCATAGCATCATAAAATATCCCATGTGCTTCTGTCTTCCAAATGTTTTTTAAAGATTCAACATATTTACTTATGAAACTGTCATCCACATTAACCCATCAAAACTCTTCCACAATTACAACTGTCAACATCCCTTAGAGAAGAAGACATACATGTAGCTTAAGCTTTGTGAAACATTACTTGCAGTCAGCTGCTCAGGAGCTTGAGATGGTGAAGATGTCAAGGTCATCTGGTATAGGAGCACCTAAGAAAGAAGACCAACTCAGGGAGGCGGCTAACATGCATATAAGATTGGGCAATATACAGAGATACTGTGAACTGATGGTTGACCTTGGAGAGGTGAATAATTTATGGAAATAGATATCACAATATTTACTGCAATTGCGTGTTCAATCTTGTCAAAAATATCCCAAGTCTATTGACACTGGGATGTAAGAATGCCAAGTCTCTGAATTAAAAAAAAACAGTTAGTCCTGTTTACAAGCAAGAGCCAGCAAACAAGTCTGTTTAAAGCAACATAGGAACTAAGCTTGAAAATATGTTTTTGAGCTTGAATGTAGGACTACAAGGCTTTAATAATGGAAATGTTTTTAGAAAAGGTTGATGCATACATTTGTGTGTCCACTTTGTTAAACCCCATTGTTATGAACAGTAATTTATTAAGAATGAAACATATTGTTTAAATAACATCTTGTATTTACATAGTGGGAGCGAGCTATGGCAGTAGCACCAGGGGTCTCTTTGGACTATTGGAAATCTCTAGCTGATAGGTGAGTGAGTAAAAGGGGTCTAGTAATGCTCAGATTTGTTATGCATTTAGGGTCACCCAGAAGTGGTGACATTTTGTTATAGTCACCTTATTTTTTGTGGACGGTGTTTGGCGGTTGGCATTTGGCGGTCAGCATCTGTAACAAATGGCAGGTGGTGACATTTTGTATGTTAATTCCTTTTGTGATTCTGCTCTCACAGCAGACTTCCACATATTAAATGCTGGACCACATATATAAATGAACACACATAATTGTATAAGAGGCAAAAGTTCCCACTTTCACTTATTGCTTCTCATCCATTCATTTACAACTAGGTGTTGACATTTTGTTTGTTTATGCCTTTGTTATATTTATTTTGTGCATAATGCTCAATGACAGATTTGTGTCTATGCAAAATGCATTTCCAGCCCGAATCTTAGGGATTGATTCTAAAATAAGGTTATTATTTTATTAATTTAATTAGTAATTTGACTTTGTATTCATATTTTAATTATCAATCATTTATTTTGTTTTTGATTTTCAGGCATGCCGACTTCCTCATGGAGCAGGAGAATGAATTAGCAATACCTTTTTGCATAGCAACAGGAAGTGCCAAAAAATGTGTTGATTTCTTGACCTCTCAAGGTCACCTACAGGAAGCCATGTTGGTTGCTGAGGCAACGATAGAGGGATCAATCAATCCACCATCAAAACCTTCCAAGAAGCCACCATTAAACTGTAATGGAGGAGAAACTCCCAATGAAGATGATTTAAGGTGAAAAAGTAACATTGTTATTACTTATGCTACTTATAACTGATTGTTATCTGTCATCTGATTGTTTCAATGATGGTGACTTATTAAGCATGGCTAGATAGGAACATTATCATGAATAACTTTCTTACATTATATGCATGTAATTCCTCTTTTTGATAAAAAACATCACTTCATTTTCCTGTAGTTAATACTGAGGTACTGTAGCACTCCAACATTAAGCAAACTTTGGATGATACAATGCATGGACTATTGCCTAGAGACCAGATAAATATATCTTATACACCCACAAACATAATTGATTAATTACATTTGGAGTAGGCAGGGGGTAACATTTTATTAATGTACATCTTTTTTTAACTGACATGGTGTGAAATATTGTTTGTTGTAGTATGGGTATGGGTGAGGAATGGGTTCAGTGTGAAATGGAATAATTAATTATGGTTGTGGGTAATATTGAGACTCTGACCTAGCTTCACATGAATATACTAACATTTTTACCTATGTATTAACAGCATGCTACATAACACTGCTGACACCCTGGCTGATTGGTATTTCCGCAATGGATCTCCCATTCTGGCTGCCTGCTGCCACCTATCTGTGGATCACTGCCAGGTAAATGTGTTCGGGGATAATAGCTTGAATCTAGAAATGCATCAATTATGGTCCCCTTAACTGCAATCTCAAGCCCAGCAAATAACACCACATCTCAGTATTATATACAGATATACGTCGTACAGATGTAAATGTATGTATGTATGTTAGAAAATGATGTTTGGTATTTGACAGTGAGATTAAGAACATTATTGAAATCAAAAATGTAAAAGGTGATATAAATTCAAAATTCAAATACATGTAGTATACTTAGTTACTCCACCCTTCCTGCTGAGATTTTAAATCTTGTCTGATAAATATTGAAAAAAACACATCAATACATATTCACAACATGGTATTAACATGCAAAATATCATGTCACCTTCTACCATTTGTTTGATGGTGACATAAAACTGTTCTTGAAATTCAAAAGCAATAAAATGAAAAATTGTATTATTTCAGAAAGCCATGTCAAAACTTATTCGTGGTAATGAATTAGAGCTGGCTGTGTCCATTGGCAGGGTTCTTAAGAACCAGGATGTGGGAGCTCTAACTAATGTTGCTACGGAGTACCTTGTTCGACGGTGTGAAAATATAGGAAAATGGTGAGTAAGCTGTTCAATTTGTTTTACATGGCTGATTGTGTATATTGAAGGATTGGATTTCAGTGAATTATTCTAATTTTAATTTCATCTTGTAGGAGAATCTATATCTTTTTGAATCATCAATTTGAAGCAATAAGGGGAGGCATCAAAAGTTCGATGTCTAATCAGAAACTAAATAAATCTAGTTTTGACTCTGACCCCCCCTCCCCCCAAAAACTAAATACCATGAAAGTTGATTGCTGACTTCCAGTTCGAGAATTTGAAAAATTATTGCTAAACACGATCTAGTTTTTGTTAATTCCTATCGTAATTTGCGGCTTTTAACAACTATTGATAGAATAGAATCCATTGGAATGATCTTGACGAAGAAAGCATCAGGTAAAATCTTTATTTTTAAACCATTCCAAGGCATTCTGAGTCGAAATTGCCAAAAATTTGAAATGTTGAAATTTGTCGGATAGCAAACTGAAATGGGTTTGAACCCCCTTTCCCCTAACTAGATTTATTTAGTTTTCTATCCGACATCGAACCTTTGATGCCTCCCCTAAGTAAGCATAAGTGCCAAATAAGAAAATACCTTGTACTTGTACTTGGTTATCTCATAAATTTGAAATGGTGATTGTGTCACACACTGGTTGAAATTGATGAACAGATTTTTGCCAATTCTCTAAAATTATGTAAGACCACAGAAAGAATTATGAATCCTAACTCATCATTTGCCTCAGAAGTTCTGAACCTTCATTAAAGGCTGAAACTTCATAATTTATTGATAAAAATAAAATAACATATTTTGAAAATTCGATTTATCAGTATGAAATTGTGTTAACATTTTGCTTATAGAATTTTAGCCTTGGATAGTCAAGACTAGAGATGTCACAGAACAAAAATAAAGCGGAACAGTTCGGTTCGGAACATTTTGCTTTGGAACGGAACAATAATTTGATCATCTAGGTCTATTTGGAAGCGAAAAGCTCTTCAAAACTCTTCAATGAGAAAGAGTGAAAAGAATGAACATCTTTTGGTGCAAAATATTGAAAGAAAAATGCTGTTTTGTGGCAGTTCAAGGGCCATAAGCTTTGAAAGGGTAAAATGTTCTTGTTCCGGAACCGAACCGAAATTCTTAAGTTTTGTTCCATTTTCCGTTCCGAGGGCATCATTCTGCGGATCGGAACAAAATCGGGTATCTGTGACACCTCTTGTCAAGACTAGTAGCTATAAAACATAAGTTCTGTACTTCTGTACCTCATCTCTAATCTCCGCATAACAAACCAACAGCGCTAAATATCTAAAACTAAACACAGTTATATGAATTTGAAATTATTTTATTTATGATATAATGTTTTGAATCCTTGGCGCCAAAATATTTACATGGATAATAGCATATTATTAGTAGCCCAGACAGAATTGTTCAATGGTCACTTTTTCTTAAATAACTTTTTCAATTTTCAGTATTATCAAAATCTGATTACATATTTGAAAACTAGAGTAAAATTCTGACATACAAAAAATATATTTAGGGAACATCTCTTAATTTGTTGATATTATAGGCATTCATAGTACGAGTGACACAAATACATAATTCACCATAATTCACAAAAAATGGCGGCATGTTTTGTGGATTTGAATGTTCATTTGAAGATTAATATTTATGAAATGTCATAGGCCTGCGAAGTCATATAGACTGCTGCTTTGGTATGAGGTTATGACTGCATTTAAAACCTTGTTTTAAATTGACTTGTATGTATACCGCTACATGTCTTTAAAAAGGTTTGTACATTGTATGTACGGTATATTGGTTGGGGTCGCAGGATTTAAAGTTTTTGGCCATTCCATTGTTACCCTAAGTGGACTAGCAACCCTAGTTCGTTTAACCCATGCAATTATAGGGTCATACTGCCACAGTTTTTAATGTCTTTCCCAGTCAAACTCCTCTTAACCATCCTTGGCATGAATGTAAATTGTTCTTCAGCTTTTTAATGGCCTCTGAGATGACTGTTTGGAGCTCTTGAAAAGATTGAGGACCTCCTCTCATCACACCCCGCACATTTCGGCTCCACCTCTTCATGTCCTCTTGAACACAACCCCAAACATTTCAACAGATTTGGGTTCATATACCCTTGAAGGGAGTTGACCTCTTGTATTTGATGATTAGTCAGTTGGTGCATTACATCAGGATTGTAAAGGTGGCAGCATGACCTTATAGTTCTATGACAATCTTTAAATATTTACTCTCAACTTAACATTCAAATTCACGAAATATGCTGCCATTTTCAACAAATATGAGGCAAAATGGTGAATTATGTATTTGCGTCACTCATACTATGAATGCCTATAATAACAACAAATTAAGAGATGTTCCTTAAATATTTTTTGTGTATGTCAGAATTTCACTCTAGTTTTCAGATATGTAATCAGATTTTGATAATACTGAAAATTGAAAAAGTTATTAAAGAAAAAGTGACCATTGAACAATTCTGTCCGGGCTACTATACTATATGTATATTAATATTTTACACTGCTTGTACTTTTACTTGTGCAGAGGACTATGTGTTCATTGATTGTTTTATAAATTATAACACTCAGCAATGGGAAAACAATGCTTAGCTTATTAGGTTCTGACAGGTTAATGAATGTAGAGTTGGTTCGATTGTCAACCATGTGCATTATATTATTATACCCATTAGGGCCTTAAACTATTATTCATACATTTTGTTACCCATGCCAAAATAATCTGTTCACTCCGATGTGACTCATGTTTGTGATTCTTAACACTAAGACTGGGCATTACACCCATAAATGCCATAATAATAAAATCAAATATTAATCATTGCCCATATGCCAATACATATTACTAACTCTGTCAGAAGGATGTCATGTGTGACTATACAGGTATTTAGCCAATAAGATTGACAGAGTATGGTCATATGACCAATCATAACACCACCACCAACAGTATATTTATGGGACAATTCCACAGACAAATGCTTTAATGTAATCCAATGAGAAAATATTGAAATCTTTGGATTGATTATGAAAAAACGAGGATTTTTGGTACATAACCCCATATACCACGGGATAGCTCCATATGTCCCCTTTAAAACTGAAAATGTTTTTGCATAGAAAGGCCATTGAAATAAAAAGATATGACCGCTTTTTCCGCCATCTATCCGAATTTTAAACAATTTTCAATAGATTTCAAACTCAAGACCACCGTCAAAAAAAGTCAAATATTTGAAGTGAACCAAATCATTTTGTCATACTTTTTGTAAAATTATATACACTCAAGATAAGCAAAATAAAATATAAAATCTGTACATTTTCACTAGTGATTGCACTGATAAATCTTGATTTCAATCAACCATCATCCCAATTTTAAATTTAGATTTTTTGTCTTCTACCTTTTCACTAGCGCCCTCTGTGGAGTTTTCCCTATATGAATAATAGTTTAGCTACATAATAATAGTTGACAGCCAGACAAAGTTATACAGAAATTAGCACTATCTACTGTTTGTTCCATTAAAACATTGTCAGTGTCTTTGAGTCTAAAACACAAAATTAGTAAAACATGTTCAGTTAGGAATAAGGCCTTTGTACATTATTTTGAACATCATTGATTTAGCACTATCTACAGTTTGTTCCATCAAAACATTGTCACTGACTTTGAGTCTAATACATAGAATTAGTAAAACATGTTCAGTTAGGAATAAGGCCTTTGTACATTATTTTGAACATCATTGATTTAGCACTATCTACAGTTTGTTCCATCAAAACATTGTCAGTGACTTTGAGTCTAATACACAGAATTAGTAAAACATGTTCAGTTAGGAATAAGGCCTTTGTACATTATTTTGAACATCATTGATTTAGCACTATCTACAGTTTGTTCCATCAAAACATTGTCACTGACTTTGAGTCTAATACATAGAATTAGTAAAACATGTTCAGTTAGGAATAAGGCCTTTGTACATTATTTTGAACATCATTGATTTAGCACTATCTACAGTTTGTTCCATCAAAACATTGTCACTGACTTTGAGTCTAATACATAGAATTAGTAAAACATGTTCAGTTAGGAATAAGGCCTTTGTACATTATTTTGAACATCATTGATTTAGCACTATCTACAGTTTGTTCCATCAAAACATTGTCAGTGACTTTGAGTCTAATACACAGAATTAGTAAAACATGTTCAGTTAGGAAAAAGGCCTTTGTACATTATTTTGAACATCATTGATTTAGCACTATCTACAGTTTGTTCCATCAAAACATTGTCACTGACTTTGAGTCTAATACACAGAATTAGTAAAACATGTTCAGTTAGGAATAAGGCCTTTGTACATTATTTTGAACATCATTGATTTAGCACTATCTACAGTTTGTTCCATCAAAACATTGTCACTGACTTTGAGTCTAATACATAGAATTAGTAAAACATGTTCAGTTAGGAATAAGGCCTTTGTACATTATTTTGAACATCATTGATTTAGCACTATCTACAGTTTGTTCCATCAAAACATTGTCACTGACTTTGAGTCTAATACATAGAATTAGGAAAACGTGTTCAGTTAGGAATAAGGGCTTTGTACATTATTTTGAACATTTTTGATTTGAAGCATTTCTTTGCATAATACTTCTTATGGCTGAAACATTTTAGTCCCATTCTGTTTTGAATTATGCTGTTTTGGTTTGAATGTATTAGTCTCCTTTCACATGGTTTATCATTTGTGTGAAATTTTCAGTTAGAGATTGAAAAAATCACTGAACCACAAAGTGTCTTCATCTTTCCCCCCAAATATGTTATTGAACCAATCTAGGTATTTTGCCTCATAGTTGATGGTTCGTACAACATTACACATTTCTAGACTGTCCACAATGAGGTCCCCTTTCATATTCAATGCAGCACAGGTATATATCTGTAAATTATCAAAATTTCCTATCAAGTGTTCAATCTTCCAGCGCTTCACAAAACAGCCATCTGGGGATAGCAGGTACAGATTGTGTTCCCCAACAACAATTACATTGTCTTTGTTATCAATACAAATGTCTTGAACATTTTCCAACTCTATATTGTCATCAGTGCCATCAAATTGAAACAGCTGTTTTCCATTTCTATTGTAAGCATTTACACCACAGGATTTTTCAGCTACTATCACATCATTCCTACTGTTTACAGCAATATTGCTGTCATCTAATATACTTGTTATTTGTTCTTCATCATCAGACTTGCAACTTTCTGCATCTGAATCTGATTCATTTTCTTTTTGCTTTATTTTATCTTCCCCAGTTTCGAAGTCAATATAATGTATTCGTCCATGAGCACAATCAAGAATAACCAGCTCATTGAGATGGTTCATTGCTATGGTGTTTGGGCATTCTATTGAGGGTGTCAGCAGTTCCCTCACTTGTATTCCTTTGTGATTGAAGATCTTAACCATTGATCTGTCTTCCATCTTGTATGTAACAGCGATACAATTGTCAGGTGTTACAGTCATTCCACCTATTGTTTTTTCCACTCCAGTTTTTATATCCAGTATCTTTTTAACTGACCAGGTTTTGTCATAAATGACAATTCTTGTAGGTTTCTTTTCCTTGTAGTCATTAAGGTCAGATTTCATCACTTCCACTTCAGCCGTTACAATATCTCCATTTTGTAAAACACCCATAGATTTTTTGATCATGCTCTTATGTCCCATTAACTTTGTACTAACAATGTTAACATCATGATGAGCATCATCCTGATTGCCAAAACTAGAAGAAGCATTCAAACTCCCAAATGTAATCATGCTGTCATCAATTTGACTGCAACAAACTTCAATTGGTGTTGCTGGACTAAACCCTAAATTAGGTGGAATAGACCAGACTTCACGCTTCAAATTTATATCTGGGATCATATAGACAACATCCGCAGGGTTTCCATGCTTCTGAAGATTTTCTAATTGTGTGATGGTGTTTCCAATGGCATCTCTGTCAAATTGTAGGTCAGCTAAGTGAGCAATTGTGTTCTTTACAGATGCAGCTCCCATAGTGGCAGCTTCAGCTTCTAAGGCATTGTAAAATGCATCAACCTTGGCATGGATCTTCCTGCGGTCTTCAATTAATTTTGCTTTTGAGTCCTCAAGATTTTTCTCGATGGTCTGTTTCTGGATGTGACCCTCATTGATATAAGCATCATACTTGTCTAACCTTTGTCGTCCAAGGTCAATGACAGAGTTCAGGTTTTTCTGGTTGTTACGTGCAGTTGCTTCAATATTATCACAAGGATGTCCTTGATGGCTTATCACAAAACAGTCTTGACATATCAGACACTCATCTTTTTTGCAGTAGTACTTCAAAGGCTCACTTACATGCTCTTTGCAGTACAAAGTCCACTGTGATAACAGATTGATTGTAGCTGTGGCATCTTGAGACGTGTCTCCACTTAAGCTTAGTACTTTGTGGGACTTGGTGAAGCGGGAGAATTTATGTGAGCGTACACATGACTCGCATAGCTTTTCATTGCACCCAACACATTTTGACAAGGCAGGGGCCTTCCTATTATCTTGCAAACAAATGTCACAGTTCCAAATATCACTCGAAGATGTTGATGCTGAATGATCTTTCATAGCATCAAGGACAGAGTTTGCGAAAAAGTTTACCTTCAAGCCAGCTGCTCCTTGTTCAGGTATTGGGCAAGCTTCCCTACATACAGGGCATGGAACCTCTTTCTTGTCTTCACTTTTGTCCATTATATCCTGAATACACTTCCTACAGTAACTATGCATACATGGCAGTGATCTAGGATCATTTAGAACCTCCGTACATATAATACAAGTCATTGAGTCCATCAGTGGATCCAGTTCCATTTTGACTATTGACATGTTTGCTGTGATCGTTTTGTATCCTGTTTAACCTCAACGTCTATTCAACTGATCATGTGCCGGTGATTTTTAGATCTACAGTTTGATTCATAAGTGTTTATAATATTGTTGTTATCATGCCTTTTAAAAGACCATGTCATGTTTAATTCACATTTATCATACTTTACCTTAAGGTGCTATGGAAGTTAACAGGAAATGACAAAACAAAAAATGTCAAAACCATGCTTCATTTTGAAAAATTTTTGAACCAAGATAACAGAGTTCTGTTTGGACCTCCAGTCAGTTTAACTAGTTCCACATATCATTTACATGTAGCGACCAGGGGCCCGACATTTGTATTATATCGCCAGTATGGCAAAGGGACCTGGTCGATATTTTACTTTATATTATACTTACGGAAGAAGCTTATGTTTTCACAAATTCCTGGTTAAAATACTTCCGGTTTCCTTTAAAATCTCGTTTCAAATCTCGTGAGACTCGAGATTGAAGATCACATGATCATTAGCCCGCGAATATAGTTCGAGGTAGTATATTTGCAACTTGCTGAGGGACGGACGTGCTCCCATCATGGCTTCAACTTCAACAGCTGAAACTTGGGTAGGCCTAAATAATTACATTCTTTCATACATTCGGTGGCTTCATAGTTACTTCATTTATTTATGGTCATCTACGTAATGTGAACTTCATTTAGAAAATCATTGGAATTTCTAGCGTTTGGAGTCTACCATTTCAAATTGCATACAATTTTATAACCCAGTATTTTATTCAATTCATTATACCACGTTGCAAGTATACAGGGTGGGCCAAAAAAAAGTTCACCCTTTTTCATTTTAATCTCATTTTTTTATTTTTGATGCAATCCCTTAAAAAATTGATATGTAGATAACTGAGACATTTCTAAACAAGGTCGATATATAACATTAGGTGTGTCTTTGGCTGTTTTGTTTTTAAAGTAAATGTTCAATATGTCCTCCTTGTTCCTGCACAACCAGTTTTAGTCTATGACACCATTTATTTATTGCCGCGTTAATTGATTGTTGTGATAATTGTTCCCAACATAAAGTTATTCTTTGTTGGAGTTCTTGAACTGAATGGATGGGAACACTATGAACATGTTTTTCTAGTTCATCTGATAGGGGAGGCATGATATCCTGTGACAGTTACTGAAAAAGAATTGCAGTTCATTTCTATATAGTAATTTTCATTAATCCCAGTTTGAACTCAACTCTTAATGGGTGCCCAATGACTCTGAGCTTGGAATAAAATCACCAGTATTAGTATTCCCAACTCTGAGTACCCCTTTTCCCTGCACTATAAAGCATGAACAGAATTAAAATGGCATCTTGTACAAATTATATTATGTAGAATTTAATAACTTATTCATTTGTAATTATATCATAAGTGTATTACATAAAACCATCAAATTATTATCAATATTGTGAACGTAAAAATGAGGAAAATTGGATAAAACCATGGATTTTCAGTAACTTGTTGACCAACTCATCTATGGTAGTATCGGGTGTTTATAAGAGTACTTAATTGTTTAAAGAGATGTTTATCATCAACTCTGACTATTAATTAACACTCTACTTTGTAATATTTTGCATTAACTGACATAAAAATTATATTTACCATGATAACTTCTTTTCAAATTTCCCTCCTTTTTTTGAAATCCGCCATTTTGTAAATGAAGTGAATTTCTGGTTTTTTTTTCATGACACACCATAAATATATTTTAGGTGTCATGACAACATTGTTGCATAAATTTCACTCAAATCCTAACAACATGTACAGAAATGTCTGAGCTATATACATATCAATTTTTAGAGGCATTGCATCAAAAATAAGAAAATTAGATTAAAATGAAAAAGGGTGAACTTTTTTTTGGCCCACCCTGTACTCCCCCTTCTATTTATACTCGTATACCTTATATAGGAGGTTATTTATAACTTTGAATACATTTTCGGCTGCAGTGTTTAGGTGTTTAGGCAATGTTTAGTCATTATAAATAAACCATTTTATCGAGAGGTTTCCAGGTTATATTTCAAGCCTATGTTTTATTATGCCTTCTGGCGGGTAATTATGGTTTTTGGCGGGAAAATACTACCCTTTGGCGGGCAATTACACCTTTTCGGCGGGAAAACTTTACCTGCTTTGTCAATCATGTTTGAGGGTACAAATCTTTACTGTTTTTATGGACGTATTATTTCAAAAGCTTATGGGTAAAAGCCTTATAATTATTGGGGAGAAATTCCTTGCAGTGAGTTGAGTTGTGTTTTCGTGGATAAATTCCTTCATTATGGGTACATTTTATAGATAAAACCTCATGTTTTGGTTGGAAATCCTTTCACATTAGACATGGAAATTCACTGTTTTGGGATGGAAAATTACTCATATTTTTGAAAAGGGAAAACGTTCATCTAACATTTACAATTGTTATTGAGTTAACAGGGATGATAATTTGTCATATTCCTAAGGTGTTATTGACCACTTTCATCAGCCACGTTTTAAGGTTACTCAATTATTATGACATTTATAATTCTTTGGAAATCTGGGACCATTTCAAGTTCCCGCCATTTTTGTTAGCCATTTATTGGGTAAAATCTGGGATCATTTCAGGTTCCCGCCATTTTTGTTAAGTCATTTTATAAGGGAAATTTCGTAACATTTCAAACTCCCGCCACTTTTATTAGCCACCTATTGAGTAAATTCTGGTGTCATTTCAAATTACCGCCATTTCTATAAGCTCTTTAACAAGGGAAATATTTGGTATAATTTCAAATCCCCGCCATTTTTACTGGCCATCTATTGGATAATTTATTACAACATTTCTCTCGGCCATTTTTACTGGACATCTTTTGGGAAAATTAATATCACTCCTTTACCACAATTTCTTATTGGACACATTTTGAGAAAACTTTTACTTTTAAGAAACTTCAATATAAATGGTTTAGTTTCTACTCAAACATAACAATTTCTGTACATATTTAGTTCAACATGATCATATCATACTGTAGAACACACATATTTTAAACCGCTATTATCACTAGTGATTATTTTACTTCGTTCATTTCACATGTACTTATGTTCGTTCATTTCACATGTACTTATGTTCATTCATTAGAGATCATCCATTAAGGATGACATGTACATAGTCCACTTATGATCATCCATTAAGGATGACATGTACATAGTCCACTTATGCTCATCCATTAGGAGTAACATGTACTTAGTAATTTTACATTCATCCATTAAGGATGACATGCACTTAGCTCTTTTACATTCATCCATTAAGGATGACATGCACTTACCATTTTACACTCATCCATTAAGGATGATAACTACTTAGTCATTTTACAATCATCCTTCAAGGACGAGAAACACTTAATCCTAGTCCACTTTTGTTCATCCATTAAGGATGACACGAACTTAGCCCTTTTTATATTCATCCATTAAGGATGACAACTACTTCATTCATTTGTGTTCATCCATTAGTGATGACAATTACTTGATCTAGTTATTTACATCTATTACGAATTATAACTACTTGATTATGTTATGTAAATCCATAAAGGATATCATTTCAACTTGGATCCATTCTTTTCCATATAAGTTTATCCATAAAGGATGACTTATTTTGTACTTTTATTCATTTGGTATGACCATGACTTTTGATACTTGCCATTTATAACAGGGACTATTTTTCATCAGGTGGTATCCATAAAGGATAACCACTTGTTTACATTAATAAATACAACTATTGCTAACACCTTTTAATATAATAATAATAATAATCATGTGAAATAAAATATATTATTTTAACTTTACCTTACTTATTATGTATTTTTATTAATTAGGCATAACACAAGAGGTATTCCTTCCTTTAATAACATTTTATTGATCACTCCACTGTTACATATAGGCCAGGGTTGTTACAATTGGTGTCAGATGTGGGATAATCTAACGTTTTGTTAAATGTGCTTAGTCATGTCCACTTATATTCTTATTTAATTTTTAAAGCTCTGGCTAACATAAAGTAACAGTTTGATTTATGTATATGTGTTCAATGTTTAATGATGTACAATTAGTTATCTTAAGTAGCCCTTGCCAGGATGTCAACCTTGCTGTGATGCTGTGACCCGATGGGACAAGCCACATATAATGTAGTTATTGTCATATATAATACTCTGTCTCATATAAGATAATATTAACATTTATAAAAGCATGTTTAATATAACCATGGTATAAATTTAGTTAACGCAGGATAATTCTAACAAGAGTGACTATGATGTCGACCTAATTGAACCAATTCGACCTGAGGATACAACCCAATATGGTGGAGACATGAAATTGGTCAACCCCATTTTTGTAATCGATGATGATCCACAACCCGATGGCATAGGCGACTTGACGATGGCTTCAGGAGTAACCAGGACTGGGCCAACAGGGAGATTTGATATTTCCCCTGTGACACCAGTCACTTCTTTCAATCCTTTCATTCAGTGGTACCCTGATAACCGCCCAAGATTTCAAGAAGGTGGAGAGATGCACAAACATCTCTATACTAACGGGAAATCTATTGGTAGAAATCAGGAGGGAACTGATGAACCTTCAGTGGTTCAATCTTCCGGTCCCAATAACCCA